CTCCTACATATTTATATAATTTTGTTGTCTTTTATTTAATATTTATTGTATTATATTCACAAATAAAAATTAAAAAAAAGAATAAATAAATAAAAATTAAAAAAATAATAATAATAAAAATAATAATAACAATAAAAGAAAAAAAGAAAAACAAAACAAAGCTTTATTATGTAATAAGCTGAGACCACTTACACCTATGACTAAACTATTTCACTGTTTTTATTCTAGTTCATGTATTTGAGAAAAATAATATAAATTTTTGCAAGTAAAACAACAATTGCGTCACATTTCAAAATTTTCTATGGATTTTCTTTTCTTCTAAAAAGCTTGATTGCAATCCCTACCCTGCACAATATACCGCAATGAGTGCAGTCTATAATTTTTTTTTTTTTTTGCTAATTAAAAACCGTAAGAAAGCATCTGGAAGAACCTTTTTTAGGAAATCTCGTTTATCTGAATGTAATTGAAATGCATGATTTATTATAAGACCTATTGAGCGTTTTGCAAACGGGAACTTATTGACTGCATTCAGATCAAACATTATTTAAAGGTAAGTATGTACGAAATATTTATTAATTAAACTGTGTCTCGAACTCTAACCACTTAAATGCATTTAGGGCAAGATGATAAAATAAAGAGGAAGTGTGCACGATTGTGTGGGAGTATTAATAGATGCTTGCATGTGTTTCGATCATCGACATCTATTGGTGGATGTGATGAAGCAATGCAAAGAATCAACATCCACAGCGGTTTTGACCTTTCTCTACATGAAATGAGAGTTTTTCGTATTTCGTATTATTGCATTATTTAGAGTACACAGACGCTGGTTTGAGGATATCTGCTACTGAAACCCATTAAAACACTTTTAGAAGCTTATTGTGATGCGACCTCATCACAACCTTATTTGGGAGTTTCGGTTTGAACCCTTTAAAAGTGCAAATTTTTATGCTAATGACAAAGAACGAATGGCCTAGAGGATCAATAAAGTTCGAAGACAATGAATTGCAAGACTTATTGGGCGAAAACCCAGCTCGAACTCTCAAAAAAAGCAATTTCGAACAGTTTCAACATCGCGGTTTCATTGCTTGCCAGGCAAAAAGAAACGAGTTTTCTGTGGTGCATAGTGACTGGCGATGAAATGTGGATCTATTACGACAATCCCAAGCGCAAAAAGTCGTGGGTTTGTCCAGGAGAGCCATCCAGATCGACGTAGAAGCGGAATATTCATAGTCGTAAACTTTTGCTGTGCATACGGTGGAATCCGCAAAGATTACCGTACTATGATGAACTCTCACTGCCGATGTCTACCGACGTCAACTGAACAAAGTGAGGCCCATTTTGTTATAATTGCACAAGAGACTGACAATAGCGGTTAATAGAAGCAAAGTCACCCTCTTGCATGACAGCGCTCGGACACACGTTGCCAAAGTTGTCGAGGTAGTACTGTTATAGCTCGAATGTAAAGATCTACCGCGTACTCGGATCGACGCAACATGGCATAGGTGGCATGTGATTTCCAAACGCCGAAAAAGTTGAAAAATGCATCGATGACTAGATTGCAGCCAAAGCAATATCGATTTTTCCGGCACGGTATCGCCTTATAGCGAGAAAGTTGAAAAAAATTTGTAGTAAATGATGGAAAATATTTTGATTAATATTTTCCTCATTAAAGGCCCTCTTTCTTGTTTTATTCACTCTGTCAAAGCATTTGCAACACCCAGAAAGAAATTTCAGCGATCACGTAAAGAATGCATATTGTCGATGAGCATCAAATGCCAACCCAATTTAAGTATGTCCGTCTGTCAGTGTATCTGTTGACATTGAAATTGGACCTAATCGGTCAAACGATGCGCCAGCAATGCAGCCTAACCTGAGACTATCTCTATTAAAATATCACTCTTTTGTTAAAACGTTTTCAACGCAGAGAACGAAGCTTCAGAAACCCTATAAAGCTTATGCATTATTGATTGGTATGAAATGTGAATCTTTGTAGACATGTTTGTCAGTCCGCCTCTCCGTTGGTCTATTATTTGCTGTGCTAAACGTACTCATAGATCAGCCACGCCTACTTAACATTGAAGCATGTCGAAATTTAGTTTTTTCTTTTTCGTTGAGTCCTTCTTAGAATAACAATGATGGGTTTAAAAAAATGCCATCGGCGTTGAATATAATTTTCTTACCTGCTTTCTTTTTGAAAATTACATATAAATATATAGAAATTTATTATAGGAATAAAAACTCGCTTAACTTACTAAAACTTGAAAAACAATGAATTAGTTATGTGCGTTCGTATTTGATTGCAACACGGAGTCAGCTATGTACAACTGTATAACATTAGTTCCCGATTTTCACTCAGTTAATTATCTGCTTTGCTAGGCATTTGGCTCTCGGTGTCGTACAAAGGCGTACGAGCTTTTTTCGCCGTTCCACGTTGCTCGGAAAAACTTGAAAGACTTTTATGCGCACATTTCGTTTCCACGTGCAGTAACCTCCTTTAAGGGAAGATTTATAAGCATGAACTAATGTATTGGTTGCCAATTATGCAGCTATACTTATGATATTTATAAGGTTAATTTCAATTATTGACGATGGACTGAGGTTGAGAAAGCATCGGCCCCGACACATTGGCTATCAGTTTAACTGTATTTTCTTTTATCATGATTTTATTTTTCTTAACTCTCATTTTTCCTTTCTCTTTTGGATTTACGTTCATCGAATTATGTGTTTATTTACGTACATTAGCTGTATAACTTAGCTAATAATGTTTAGTAAATAAATAAATAAATGTCCATTATATTATATTTAATGGATTTTTCTTTCATACCTTTCGACCTATTGTTCTTCTTGTTGACGTTGATGGGTATAGAAATCTGAAGAACAAGGATTTTACCATCTTTTCGTTTAGTCTAAGTAATTATAAGTGAGATCTAAGAGATCATCGCCATATTCGAGAATTAGGCAAAAGCCTCGTAACACGTGAAATGTAACAAGACTCATTAAAAGCAAGCTTTATCAAAGTTTAGCAACCTTTTAATTTAAAATTAGAGAAATCCCCTAATTGTGCTAAAATATTTACTCTACAAGCCGTAAGGAAAGGCCTAGGATTGGCCGAACAATTACAGTCATATTTCTTAAATGGAGATCTTTCAAAGGAAAGGAACACACAGGAGTTTAAACGAGAACTTCATAAGTGCTCAGCACTGTATAAAAAAATTTATGAAGATCTTCCAACTAAAAGCAAGAAAATCCAAAATAGAACATTTTTTGCAAAAGTTGGAACATGGATTTCAAGACCATGCAATAAAACGCTTAGAGGACGAGGATAACTTGCCAAAACAAAAAAAAAATACGCCCAGGGCTAATATCGTTCAGTGATGACGAAGAAAACATTTTTTAATTCATATTAATAATTCGTCCATATCACTTCGTAAGGGAATTTTAATAAAGATATTTATCTTAATTATGCAAATACAACAAATGTGTTTTTTTTTAATTTTTGGAACTAATCCCCTTTCCATACGAGTTCTTTGTTTCATATAACACGGATTCGGATAACGCGGAAATTTTTTGGAGCGTAACCCCAAGTTATACGGCGGTTGCCCATATATACTACGAGGTATGAACTATCGCATCGCGACTTGAACATGCGAACACTAAGTTGACGATCGCGAATCTTACCTCCTCAGCGGAGGAAGAATCACATAAAAGCTGAAAAGCTTCACAATCATTTTCTAAATCGATCCAAACGTGTCTGTTCGCCAGTTTACCTGTATGTGTATACTTTTCTCTTCAACGTGAAAATCGCAATTTTTACGGCAGTCTGATGTAATTTGGTACACACACACGGATGATTCGGATCGGTTCACTTTCTCAACCACTCCCCATACAACGACTTTAGGAATAGGGCAATTTTTAAAATTTCTCGACGAAAGTGGCTAATAGGCTTGGTGCGAAGACCGGCTGAAGCAATTTTCTGAACCCGCCCTCATACACTGGTTTCTAAGGAAATGGAACCTTTATATGGTAAAAATGGCAAATTTCCAATACTTCATGGTGAAAATCATCTTTGAAAAAGCCATCTATTTTTTCGAATTCGGACCATGTAGGCATATAAGATTTCTCACGAAACGTAAACTCTTATATACCAAAAAAGCCTAATTGTAACCACATGGGACTATTCCTTGGCCCCACTCCATGTAAGCTTCTGTAAGCTCTTCGGAAAATGGGCTAACTGGTAATACTTTCACATAGGTCTATTTTTCTTCGACTTTCACATATATAGGCGCTATCACGAAACGCGAACTCTTATATGGGAAGAAAATCTAACCTTCCAATGTCCAAGCTTTCGTGACAATGGCTTTGTATGAATGTAATGCGTACTTTTTGGAGTATGATTATTAAAACGAGCGAATAATTGTACTATGCGAAGTGGTATACCGTATATAATAACCGGCGTTGCCTGACTATATTGTTCTTAGTTGTTTTTTTAAACGCAGTGCGCAATTTCGGCATTTATAAGAACAGCTTATGAAAGTTGTCTTAGTCCATATACCCCGATGTTCGATTTGCAGGGTACAAAACCATATTTTTATACCCACCACTGTAAGATGGGGTTTTGTTTTTTTCATAATGTATGTAACACCCAAAAGAAAATTCCAGAGACCTTATCAAATATATATAATCTTGATCATCTTGGAGTTGTGAGTTGTCCGTCTGTATTCCTTTTCTATTTAAATCGGATAGTTTCAAATCGATCTCATGGCAAAACAATGTTATAAAACATATTTAAGCAAACTATTAATACATATCTCACATTTGAAAACATTTAGGACTATTTTTCTTCACTATTAGGCTGTTATTTCTTTGCATATGCAAATAAATAAGTAACAAAAAGAAAAAGACTTAAATGTTTACAAAAATAATAGATGTAATGCGCTTTTTAGCAACACTGTTTGTTTTATTTAAAAAAATATCAATCCTCTTTATTGCAACACATAGCTGGTAAACAGCAACACACTTCACTTCCAATATCTTAATTTGCTTGTCATTCGGTAATTGCAATAAGGCATTAAAACTTAAAGTGAAAATGGTTTGTTTTCTTTAGATTTTGCATCGAGTTTAAATTTTTAATTTTATTATTATTTAGGCACAATCTATCAAAGTTCCGCCTGTTATGCCTGCAGTGCTTAATGCAGAGCCTACAGTAAGTTTACCCGGTAAAACTAATTGCTTGAGTCAATTAGCATATGTACACCGTTTGAGAGATTCGGAAGCCAACTACAATCAACATAAATATAATCTATCCATGCAAATGATGCGTAATCGTGAAGGCTTAAATTTCCCTTTGAAAATGGGTATGGAATTATTTGCAGCGAGACAAGTCGGGCGCTTGCCATTCTTGCAATCTAGGTATGCTTGATGCTTAATAAAAAGTATCGTCTGAATAATGACTTATTTTAATTCATAGTAATATGATGGAGGATGTTTTACTGGGCCGCGATGAAATGATCAGCTTCGAAGATTACTTGGGAGTACCGGAAAATTATGAATTTATGCGACAACCACATGTCGTGATGGAAAAATCTTTGGGAATTTTATAAATAGCTTTGTGTAGCATCGTAAATCTTTAATAAAAAAATATTTGTAGGTGTAGATCAAATTAATTTATGCGAGCGTGATAATATGAAACGACTTAATACTTTTTCGCAGAATTTGGCTGTAAATGATTCTAATTTGCTATAATCTTGCACACGAAGCCAGTGCTTACTCAATAGCTTTTCTGAAAAATCTATAAAAACTCGGCAATAGGTTTTTTGTTTCTTTTATGAAATTTGCACTTTTTATTTTTAATTTAAGCGGCTGTTGCGTTACAGGTATGAATAAAGACACAAATATTTTAATTGTACCATACGCAACAAACAAACAACATCAGTAGAACCAGTAGATGCTATAATGACATAAATCAATAAATCAATAATGGACGAATCGTTGATTTTAAGAGGTAAATATAGTCATTAAAAGTTCTGAAAAAAATATAACTCAATAATATATTTAGGGTAATAAAAATTAAATATTAAAAAAAAGAAAATACAACAATTATATTGCAATGGACGAATTCGTATAGTAAGTTTGGAGACTATTTCTTAAAAATATACGTAATTTTAACTTTGATTACTGGTATCAACTTGTGTTTACATACTAACTATTAAATAATTAAAAAAGAAAAAAAAAACATTCATACTCTTAAGAACACTTTCGTTTTACGTTTTTGTTGAATTTTACTATGATTGCAGCAAAAGCAGAGAAATGTGTTGAAATGCAAAGAAAGTCTCCTAATAAATCCAGTTTACTGGCACCCACTGCTCTTCGTGACTCATCTGATCTAATGTCTCCACGACTTGACGGAACGTGTCATCAAAATCTTCATTAATAATAATCATATCGAAATATTTCTCATATTTGCGTTGAACAAAACGACTCTCCTCCACGGTCGATATTAAATCATCATCCTAAGGATTAAAGTAAAAGATAAATTCTTAGATATTTTCAAATCCCTCACTCTTATTGTTCTTGAAAGCACTTTGTTTTTCTGAACGAAGCATACTGTATTCCTGGAGTTAGCTTCCAAAGGGTGTTTGATGGCAAAATAGAAGAAAAATCGTATATAGTGTGCGCCGAATCGACCCTATATCAGATGCATTATTTATGTATAGTTCGGTAACATTTTGCACTGAAAATCTCTGCATACACCGCAGTGTTTGTTAGCAATCGCGAACGGACGGTTGGTCGATTTCCAACTACAAAGTGAATTCAGTAACAAAAATCCTTGAACTTAAAGCTTTACAAATTTTGTTGACATATTTTAGGAGAATAAGGTAAAGCTTTCTGGCAATTGTCAATACGCCCATGAACCTATGATGCTGATTTTCAAGCTTAAGGGGAAGGAGCAAGGAAGAGAAAACAGGAGCGGACTTGGTTTCGCTGGCAAAGTTTCGCCGTCGTAATCATGATATCCACAGAGGGACGCACGATGGACAAGCATGTCTAAATCCATTTCGCTATTTACATTGATGCAGACTACACGTATACGCTTTAACACACCTGAGAAGCACATTTCTATGCATTGCAAAATTTGTAAACGTAAGGGTAACAATATTGTTCGCAAAACAAAAAAGAAATTTGGGAAGTACTTATATCAATAGCTTTTCAATGTATTCCTTAATTACCTCATAAAGTGATGCAAGAGATTCTAAAGTGCGGGCACGTCTTGAGCTGTAACGTATCGAGCTTTGACGATCGAACTAAAGATATGTATTAATGTTATATTAAAAATTTAAAAGGTTTTTTTTTTCAATTTGTTTCAAATACCGTCAAATTTTTATTTGAACCTGTGGCTCGCCGTTCAGCATAGATAGACTTCAGTTGCTCCATACCAGGGGCACCAATAAATATAACGAATGGCATCAGCTCTTGACTATTGTGCAGAATTTTCAAAGCATTTGGCGCACAATCCAAGACGCACATACGCCCTACAAGTAATTTATATATATATATGTATACGTAAGTATATTCTTTGAAATGTTCTCATTTTAGCCGCAAAATTACCGCTTTCGATGACATCCTTAATGGACTCTATATGTGTTCCATATAAATGGCCATTATTTTCACCATATTCCAAGAATTTATTCTCTTTAATCTCTTGATCCATCCATTCACGATCAACAAACCAATAGCTAATACCGTTCTCTTCCAGAGCTCTTTTTGGGCGTGTAGTGTCTGTAATCAGATATATATTGGCGATGGCAGCGTTCTCATCCAATGAATCTACTTACGTGGTATAACGAAACCGAAACGATCGGGATCACTGTTAACTAAACGATTTTTTAAAGTACGTCTACCCACCCCAGATACACCAATTAAGGCCAGAGTTTTTCGTCGAAAAGGTGGCATTCGTGTCACTTCTTCATAAAGCATTAGTTCGGCTTTATCAAATTCACAATTAGCTACCGAACGATACATAGTTTTACGCTTACGTTTTGAGATCTAACCTCAAATCAAATATAATTCAATTTATTTTTAAAAGTCTTAAATTTGATTACGATTTCTTACCCGAGTACCGCAAATGCCAATCTTATGCACATAATCTGCCTCTGGTGCTACAAAAGCTTTACGTCTTTCTTCCAATTCCTGGGACGGTATCAAACCAATCTGATCGCTTTGGGAAGTTATATTTTTAACCTGCCACCAATTCGGGTCCTTAACATTAATGATCTAAAAATGCAATGTAAACCAATTTCCGAATTAAGTCGAAAATGCGTTAAGAACTAAACCTGTAAAATATCACCGGATTTGAAAGCCAAACCGATATCTTTGCATGGCAGTAAGGAATCATCTGAGGGATTGTAAGTATATAAGGCACGCATGTAACACTGAAACAATATAAAAAAAATATAATAAGAATTTTTCTTAACTTCAGATAAGCATAGGTTGAAATTCTTCAATATATATCGGAACTTACTTTTACGCCATTGCCCCCCAAACTTTTACTAAACATATGAAAATAGAACGTCTTAAGCAATAACGCACAGCAAGACAAATAAATTTAAGTTATGAAAATTAAAGTATAGTTAAAGCGGCTCTCAAAATACGCCATGCATAGTAGTTTTCAAATATAATTAATTAACTGTCCCGTCATCGGGAGTTGGTTTCGATTATAGTAAATGCAATAAATATTTACAAACAAGAATATAATAAAGGATTAATATTAAGACTAGGAGTGCAGAAGCTGCAGAAGCGAAACATTTCGAGACAAATAATTAAAAACGCACTCCTGACAATATTAGAAGAAAAAGATTTTGTACAATTATTGATTAGTTTTCTTAAAATTGCTTAAAATTTTCTAAAAAATCTTTGCTACATTTTTATATCCACCGTAGTATGCGTTTGAATGTCGGCAGGTTTGCAACGGATAGCAATAAGAAGCAGGGGTTACGTTTACCCTCAGTTAAAGTGAGTCGATGAATTGATTGAAGAATGTCTATCTATCCATACACTTACTGAATTCACGAATACTTGAATATTACACAATTCGATGTAAAAGCTCGATCTTGACGGGCAGGAAACCATATACATATATATATATAAGTCTAAGAAGTGATACCATCTTTACGTATCAGGACTGAATGGCGACTTCTCTGATCCGGAAAAAACGTCGTGAACGATTGTTGTTTTATATGCATTTTATCCGCCTGAGCAGCCGAAGGCGAGGAATCTCGACTAGGAAGTCAATGGTCGTGGGTTCGAATCTCAAGTGCGGTAGAGTTTTTAATAAAAGCCGATAGCCTTATATGCTAATGCTTTTAAGAGTTTAGTCTTAGAATTTATTTCTCTGGCGAAATTAATAATAATAATAATAATAAATGAATTTTGTTTTGTATTTGCTTTCATTAAGAAGTAAGTGGACCTTTAATTTAGCACTATGAGGAAAATAGGGGGAAGCATAACTAAGTCGCTCGAAAAATCCGCCAAACTTTGTACTCAAAGATACCGTCTGCGAAAGAAATGTGTATATGAAAGTACGAAAAATATGCTCAATGGCAAACCAAGAGTAACTGGAAAGGGATGATTAAATCGACCTAGAATCCTATGCTGATCAAGACAAATATTTACTCAAAAGTATTTATTCAAAATTTTTATACTAATCAATACACATATATATTTTGCCATCAACCATACCACAGGCATTTTTTTACCGTTGAGCACTAAGCAGGTGGAACTTCATTGAAGGAACATAATTAAGTTTACCCGGAATTTTTCGCTAATCAATAGTGTTTTGCAGTCTCCCCTACCATACTTAGCACTCTATAGCACTGAAGCTATGGGAGAAAAATAGTAAAATGAACGCGCCAGTACTTACCGTTAACTTCTTGCCTGGTTCAATTTTTGATACACCATTTTGCTTTATCTGGCCACTTGTTAAACGTCCCGAACGTATTTCTTCATCGACGTTAGGGCCAATTTTTAGGGTGAGATTCTCTTTGGCTCGTGATACTTCAATTTTTAGTTCATCGGGTGTACGAACAGGTATACCATTGACTTCTAAAATAACATCCCCGGGATGTAATAAGCCCTGCTTATCAATAACACCGCCAGCTAATATACGGGCAACTACCAATTGCTTATGATCATCTAATTCAACCGTAAGACCCAATGGTTGCTTTGGAATGCGACGCAAACCAACCATTTTAATTGTTTCAACGGGCATTGTACTATTTATGATTTCCGGAGGGAAAAGATAACCGCCCGACTTACGCTGAGATATTTTCTCCAATTTAACAAGTGAACCACCGGCAGCTTTTAAACGATTCTCATAGAGATAACCTATTTCATCGTGAGCGCGTATAAGGGCCTAAAATATATGTGATATTAATATTATAACGCAGGCTATAAAGGAATAAAAGTTTAACTTACCCTAAAATGTGGTTGGTTTAATAGCTTGGCTAATTCGCGCGATTCCAAACGTCTGGAGGGCGAAAACTTCCGTATGATATCGTCGCAAATTGGTTTATTGTTTAAATGAGCTGGCAAAAAAGCTGGCACCACTTCTGGTTTTATGGGATTTAACTAGAATTAAAGAAAGCAACAGAGAATAAGACATGGTAGTTATAGAAAGAGTGAGAGAGAGAGAGAGAGAGAGAGATGAAGCAATGAATAATAAGTCTGAACTGACAGTAACTTAATTAAATTAGATTAAATTGGCATTGCGACGTGTGGGTCAAATCGTTATTGGAATGACATGACAAAGTAAATGACGTATAAATTTATTTACATACTTAACATACTAAACGTATACATACATACATATGTATATGCATATAAATATTTGCCCTCCTTAACCTATTCCTCTTTGTGATAATTCTCTGCAGATTCGAAGACTTCATATAATGAATAAATTTGAATTATTTTTTAAGTCTTTTTAGGTTAAGGGAGTTCATATGAAACGAATTTTGAATTTTACTTTTATTTGAGATTTTTTTTAAATTTAAAATTTAATATTCAGAAAAAGTAATTACTCAAAAACTGTTTACACTTGAACTCGTTTTTAATCAGAGCTTAAATTAGGTTGAATTTAATTAATAAAAAAAAACATTTTTATATATAATATACTACTTATGTGTGTATTGTAATTCATGCAATTCGCTTTTCAAAACTTATGACTTTCTTTATTTATTTATTTATTTTTTTTGCTAGTCATAGAGGCAGGGTGAAGTTTCAAACAATTGCCGTTTACATCAACGCGGCATCATCACCTTATAATTCAATTGTGTATACGGAACATACCATTACTTTCTATGATTCATTTATTAAATGCATTCACACATGTACATATATGTATGTATACATGGACGCATTTCCTCTACCATCGAAAAGCTATGCATGGTTTAATGTATCAATTGTGACTTTTGCTAAGCAAATTTCTAGTTGATTGCTTAACATTTAAAATGTGTATAGGATCGTCTACGCGCATTGATCTGAATTTTTGTAATCGCATCTCGATGTGAAGATTTGTTTTTTTATAAATATAAAATATTTTAATATTTAAGCGGTTATTAGAAAGAAAAGAATTGAAAAGCCTTCAAAGTTCGTTCCAAGTCATCGAAGACTTTCTCATTTATTTCATTGCACCAATGCCTGAACACATGAACACATGAATACATCGATGCATGCTGGTGTCTTTTAATGTATTCATGCATAAACACAGACATACATACATCTCCGGGAAATTCAGTAAACGTGAGAAATTGAACTTTGGAAAAAGGCGAAGAAAAATCTTTCATATTAAGTTTATTACAAGACTTTTAAATAAGTTAAGTTTTCATGTTATGAACATATCCGAGATAGGCGAGTAACAGTATCTGCCAGCACACGTTTCATCTTTGAAATTAAAAGTCATTTTTCAAGTTTAAAAACAATCTTTTGAGGTTTTTTTTATATGGGCGCCGCCACTGTTCAACTCGGACTCACACAAACGGCGGTTGTGGTGTATTTCTTATGGGTAGGGCCTCACTTTATCCGAAATTTATTCGTAAAAGACCTTCACGCGCTGCTTAATGAGAATTATCACATCTGTTGGACAACTTCTGTAGAAAAGGATTTAGGTAACCTAATGTTCTTTTCATCTTTATTAGGATTACGGGGATTATAAAGAAGGCACGCCCCCAAATGACTTATTGTTCTAAGCTTGTGTCGAAGAGTAATGTCTTATTCATGGCCTAGCTACATCTTTTGTATCCAGGCCCATTAAAGAAGGCCACGCCTGGAAATAATTTTGTTGCTAAGGCAAAGCAAATGCAGAGAAAATGTCCAGACGACTTAATCTAACAGCTTTTATTGAAATGTTATGCTATACTATGGAATTCCTGGCGAAATTCAGATTTCGTTATCCAATAGCCGGAAAGATAACGACTTGTGGTAATGAATTCCCAACTATCGGCCTATCGCTTCGTCTAAATAGATATCTATTTTTGTCATAGGGAGTCCAGGTATTTCTAATGTGAGGACAAAATGGCGGTGTCCTCACAAATGCGCAACAATGCCAAATGACGGCGCTAGGCAGAGGCCCCCGTCATCTCGGAGGTGAGAAAGAAGTGTAGAGGTCTTCTTTTCATTCGGGCATCAACAACTTCTTCATAAATTATTCTAAGGAAGGAGTGGTTAAGCTGCGTCATAGCCAAAAAGACAATGACTTGAAACCATGCATTGTATGTTACCATGATAATCGTAGGCAAAACCGGTTAGGTTTCTAATGATCGAAGAGACAGTGGGTTACAATCCTAAAACTTGATATAACGAGAAGGAGACTTAGGAGGTTAGAATGGAGAGATTTATGCTTTGGATCTTCTTGCGGCGTAGATTGCTCAGATACTCCTTCCAAGAAATAAATGTCTTCCTTCTAGGACTATATAGACTACGCTACATAAGCGTGTATAAATTTATTGAAGGTGATCGAACTGGAGGTATACAGTCTGATTGAGAACATGCAGAAGGTGATTCAAAAAATTTCAAGCCTTTCTGATAAGTCACTCTCTGACCGACCAGCTAGCTTTGATCGACGATCATACTGTCAAGATCACGTTAGAGCGAAGGACCTTCATAAAAACATTGGCGACTGCGAAAAGGCTTAATTCAGCTCAACAAATCATTTCGTAGCAGGATTTTGTTCTGTTCTAACAACACACAAAACTTTCCTTAGAGAGACCTAACCTACTTGGACAGGCATTTGTAAAGAAAAGTGTAGACATCAGTTGGACTCATTCATTTATGGAAAATATACTATAACGGTATAGAAGAAAACCAAGTAAGCAATTATGGAGTAGAAGGCTGGAGATCGATCGATTCTACATACACTCCCAGACTTGCGTCCAATCAACCTTTATACTCCAAAAGAAACTAAGGAGAGTGTATCTTAACTTGTTCCGTCTACAGCTTTAGTGAAATTTATCTACACTTACTAATGGGTTAAAGGTATCGTATAAAGGGCTTTGACCTTTTAACTTTATAATCCATGCCGTTTAGTTTCATGTAAAAAGAAAATTCCATAAACAGCGATGCATGGGAATTCATCGCGGTTTTCGTAATAAATTTTAGAAACTCTCTTTTCCATCTTTAAACAAACGCTGATGATGATCAACAGTTAGAGCATTACAAGTTTCACGTTAGACGTTACGTTCGAATGCAAATACACAATGAATGAATATGTGTATGAAAGTCTAAATGCAACTAGTAGGGTAGCAAACCTAATAGAAAAAAAAAACATAATGTGATGGAAGTCGCGAAGTGAAGTTGCTATAGGAAACAACATCGTCAACAATCAACAGGAACAGCAAGCAGCTAAGTAAAATGTACTTCTAATCAGAGGCATGTATAGCACATTAATTGCATTTACGGATACATAATGAACTTTGAGAATATGGAACTTATGATTGCGATCTGAATGATTGGCAAATACTTTTCAAATACATATATATATGTATACATATAAAATATATGTGTATATATGGATAGCATACGTTTATGTGCGAATTGGGACAAGACAGGTGTTAAAATATTTATTTTGCTCGGTTAAGAAACTTTTTTAAGTAAGAATTTTTGCACAAAGCCAAAGAATAGCACAACCACTCCCCAAAGCGTAAACTTTTCGTTTATTTTTTATATGAAACATTCAAGCCTTTCTCTCTCGCTCGGAGAGGAGAGGACAAAAGCAAGGGAAAGCTTCATAAGCTTAACAAACAAAATGTTCAATGTTCGTTGGTTACACAATAATAGATGAACGTGTTGCTGCGTATTGTTTGCTTAAAGCGGTTTCATTGTTGGCATTTAGCCAAAACAGTGAATCTTTTAAACGAATTATGACCAAAAGCATAACAAAAAAAAAAAAAAAAAAAAAAAGAAAAAAAAAAAGCTGGCTAAATACGTCATGCTCTTAGATAATTTTTATTTATTTATTTTTCTATTCTACATGCTACATATGTATGCGCCAATCATCAGTTACGTACAAGTGTGCGTGGGTAAAATGAATTGCATACATCACCAAGGTAGCATAAAAGCCAAACACACTAAAAAAAAAAAAATTCCAAAAGTATTTGATTTCAGATGAAACCTTTAGCATTAGCTTTAATATCGATTTACTGTTTCGAGAAATATGATTAAAAGAAAAAACACAACGTTTTTATAATAAATTATAGAAAAACACTGCACGCACCAGAAAATTTTTAAAGTTAACTGAATATGATGAATATATATATATATATATATATATATATATATATATACAATGAAGCCAGGTTTTTAATTTTATTTCACTTTTTTACTTTGTTGTTTTTCGTCTTCTTCGTTTCAATTGGAAAGTCAACATACACAGCACACTCAGCGCGCAAGAATCTCAAGTCAACTGTTGAATATATTTAACTAACAATAGCTTGAATTTCGTTTAAACCCCGTTTCGCATAAACTTTCGTATACACGATCTCTTTAAGCCGTCTGTCTGTATTCGACAATGAAAACGCGAGACTTAAATATATTGAGGATTGCACGCGCGAGCGAGGGAGAGAGCCAGAACGAGCAAAAGCGAGAGGAGGAAAATTGAAAATAAAGAGAGGGAGAATAAGATCTCTTTATTTATTTATTGGTCGTTTCTATTTGAGACGCGTCGTGCAATGGCAGTGGCAAACTGTCCGGTCGATACCGATACCGATTCAGGCGTTCACGTTCCGGTTAAGAAGATTTCCCCGCAGCACAACTTTACACCAACACCAACCGAATGTTACTAAATTGCAGTTAAAAAGCAGTCAGGTAAACAAACCCAATCAATAAAAGTCCATGAGTTTATTTTCAGTTTATTACATGTGCAAACACACACACACACATACATATACGCACACAAACCTGCAAACACAAACACATATGTTTACACAATAAGCTTAGCGCTGAGACACTCTCACTGCATTGACTTTTTCGTTGACAAGCTTAGTTAGCCCTGATGTTGTTTAACATAAGTTTTCGAACTTGTTTTTCCTTTATTATTATTGTTGTTGTTGTTTTTGTTTTTGTTGTGCATTAAACATAGATCGGCGAATTCAATGCAAATGCATATACACGTTCATTGTACACTAAGAAAATAACTTTTTGGCACGTAAAAGCTTTTGAAATGTTTGCAGTGATTTTTTAATCTCTTTCGAACCATACATGAAAGAGTGCCAACAAGAAACTAATCAAGTCAGAAAGGAGATGAAAAGAAGCATTGAATCCCCTTTGGTCAATCTGAATGCTTACTTAAACTTAACTTTTACTCGAAGCGTTGAAAGTGGAGCTAGACAATACGGAAAGCAGAGATTCGCTTAAGAAGCCCGAGTCGCAGCACATGTAAGTAAAGTTTAAGCACCCATTCTTCTCTTGTACCGTGAGAGAAGTAAGAAACACATTCTGGAATATATACGCCACCTTATTATCAAAAAACTGACTGGCATATGCACCAAATGATACGAGTTGTGGTTTTCAAGCTTGTCCTGCAGTCAGCTGTCAGAGCTTGTCAGAGCATCTATCATCCTATCTCTGGTCATTGTAGGCCAAATCCTGGTGGTTAGCGGTTTTGGTGTTAGCCACTTTTTTAAAAGATAACACGAGACTTAAAGTATGCTTGACTCTTGGCGAGCGGCCACTTCAAGCAGCAATTTAACCAATCACGTAATTTCATCACTTTGAGCCTTCCCGCAAATGGACGCAACACTAAGTTTAGGAATGCAAAGGTGGCATATGCTGCAGAGTGCGATCATCTTAATAATGGCTGCACAAAGACAAGTTCAGAGATTGTCAAAGGAAGTGTAACAATTTCACTTCCGTTTAAAATGAGCCGAAGTTAGAATATTACCTATTCGGGAGGTTTGTTGCATTAAATACTTTCTGAGCTGACCGTCACCTAAAAGTAAGCAAACTAAACCGTCAAAGAATGTCAACGTCGAGTTTACTCGAGATTCCACGCAAGAAACGTCTCTTGTTGGGCTTCCATTGGAAAGATCAGTTAAAACTCGAGAAGAGGGGAAACGTAAAGGCACATACTGTAAACTGATTATTGATTTTAGGAGTTTCCTTCATTGCACTCATGTTCTGATTAGAGGTAGTACATTTTTTTTTAAAAAGGGATCAAATAAGCGTCATCTAGCGTGAGGACAAGTGAGCTAAAAGATTTTAATAAGTTTCATCAACTGACCACGTAATTGAACTAAGTATCAAGTCAGTGTTTGTGGGTTCAAATCTCAAAAGTGGTACAGCCTACATTGACATTGAGTAAGGACGTAGCACTTACTACACCTACATCGCTGCTACCGCTCCCGCCCAAACTCATTCTTCTTTCTCGGTTTTTCTGCCGTGCTACCGTGTTACACGAGCAGGGAACATCTCCTGAAGGATTGGTCATATCACTAAACTAAGAGAAAACTGATTCTAGATTTTCTTCTCATCCAATTAAAAGTCTAAAGCCTGATTGAATAACTTTCACCAATGCGAATGGAATTTTGTAATCTTATGAAAGCGAGAATGCACTAAAGATATTTTTAAGACGTAACACAATAATAAATTTTTATAATAAGTGATGGAAATAGTGGAAGCAATTTTTGACCTAATTTCAGGTAATAAATTATTATTGAGTTGTTTTTTTTTCTTCTTGGTGGAAAATCACGCGTTTGCGTGACCTTTCACACGAAATAAGAGATTCAGTGAAAGTAATTAGGAAAACCGAATTTTCATTTAGTCATGTGAGAAAACTCTTTTGTGTTTACCAATTGAGGTTATGTTAGCTGGGCAGAAATGCACATTAGTTGCTCTTCGCTTACGAAATGGCTTGCACAACTGTTTGTTTTGAAAAGTGAACCTAAACTTAAACGCAAGCATTTCGAAACAGGGGTCTACGGACATGTGAGCGAAAGTGAAAATTTATCGTCAAATATTAGGCAAAGTGGACTTTGCCAGAGTGGCGGTCCATATATTTTCTATTTTGCTTCATTTTTCTTCTATCATCCATAAGTAATGTTGACGCAAAGTTTAGACCTTTGCGACCATGAAAACCAATAAATGGAAATCATTGTTATATAGTGGCCCTGATGCTTTCCAGGGACGATTTCTTTGCATGACTATGTGACAACCAATCTTTACCCTACACCACTTGCGGTACAACGGTATATTGAATTTGAGCGGAAGTATACAGCAACGCCCAGAAAATCTCGAGGTGAACGCACCTTTTATTATATTGATCGTCTGTCCCTCTGTGCGTCCAAGAATATTGTCATGTTCAACCTATAGATCTCAATTTTTGCTATATTTTTATGAGATTTAGCACAAAGGCAAGGACGATCACTATTGAAAACGGGTCGTGATTGGACCACTTTTTCGATCACTTCCCATAAAAAGCCTTAATTTGAAACGTCTTTATATGAATAACTGCAGGCTAATGTAGGGCATTTAATGGTTGTTCGTGGCCCACTATAACGCTTTTACTTATTATATTTTGTGTAATAAAAGTTTCATATAATTCGCATTTCCTATACTAAGTAAATGCTAAGTGGGTCAAAATGCGGAAAGAGTTTTAAAATATACCAAATTCAATGGAAAAGGTTCTTAACGAGTTTCTTTTCTTTTTAATTTTGCGAATAGATAAAATATTTATGTAATTACTAGATCTCAAAAATTATCATTTGTATAAACAGCGACACACAGACATATTTTCCTACATACGTATATCGTAAAAACTTACATTTTCATGCAAGTGTGCTCTTATGTTCATATTAAATGCTTTGCATGTGAGACTTTCTGATAGGCGATATTAAGAAAAGACAAAAATAAAAAATGCAACAAAATATGTAATACGGTGTAACAAATAATTTTTGAAACCGGTTTCGAGACTGAAAAGAGATGAAGAGCTAAGACACGCTCGCATAACTTTTGAATAAATGAATAAAAAATCTTTTCCATTATTTTATTTTAAGACATGTCTTCATTTAAAACGTCTAAAGTTCTTATTCATAGCTAATGGAATTGGAAGAGAAGTTATCATCATTTTTAAAAACGATTTTTCTTCAAACACCTTCAAAAATCAAATTAGCATAGTGCCCTCAAAATTCAACGATGTAACACCCTTTTGTACAAATTATTTAAATGAAACCGATCATATGGCTATAGCCTAAAAATGTTTGAATTATCAAGCGAATTGAATAGAGTCGTACATCGTTCATTAAATTGGAATCTTTTGCTGTTTCGTAAATGTTAAAATTTATACCACATGCATAGCGTGGACAGCGAGAGCAAAAGATTAAGTGGGTCAATTAAGAATATTATAAAAACACAGAGATTCAATACCTACCAAAAGCTCCTTTGGTGTTGATGGATTGCTTAGCAAGAGGCCCTTAAGAAAAATATCATTATTTTCCGAATAACGTGAAAGCGATTTATAATCGTTAATATGCTTAAACCCATCTGAAAAGAAAACAATTAATAAATAAAGCGGCTGCTACACTAAGCAATAATAAAGATACGGAACTGATTAAGCATTATGTATGTACGTACCGTTGTCAGTGGCCTCGACTTCATCAACAATATTCACTTTGTTGATACTGGCTAAAAGATTTATTTTATCCTGATGTTCTTTACGTGTTAAGCGAACCATGACACAAGTCACAAAAGTCAATTAACTGTAGAGATCGTCAAACTAAGGAGGAAGGGAACTTATCTTCACGTTTACACAGTAACGTGATAATAGGTAAAGACTAAAATAAGATGGAAAATCCTTTATTGACTTGCACCTACAATTTGTTTACTTAATTCATTGTGCAAAGTTGCGGAATTATACCAATAAGATGTTGCTGGCTTTTGATTACTTTCAACACTTATTAGATTCTTATAGAATATATATATATATATATATATATATATATATATATTTAGATGTTTGCCATACATCCGCTTCTTAGATTGGTTAGAAATTAATTTTCCCATTCATTTACGCAACAACTGTTGCCTCTATTTACACTTTTAAATCACTTTTTTCTTAATTTGCCGAACAATCTACCGCTCTCAATAAACTTTTTTTTATTTGTTACTCGTAGCGGATAAAAGAAAAAATCTCTTCTTTTTCTTCTTTCCGCTCAAAAAAACTGTTAAGCTGTTAAGCGAAAATAATGACTGAATGATATTATTGAGAGATTTCTTTCAACTTTTATTTGACATCATTTTTGCATTAGTTGCTAGCATGTTATTGTAATGTAACTAACAGTTCTCATTCTAAAACACTACCAGTGCCGTAACAGAAATCCATTGTAATAGGGCTGCCAAGTCTAATAATTTCTAGATGGTTAAGACAAAATAAAAGAAACGGGTATTTTGCAGTTTCGCAAAACTAAAAACGCTGTCAAATAGGCATGTTTTGATTATTACTTTATTACTGAAATCCTGCATTCATTGCGACCATTTTGCGAGAGATGAGAAACAAAGTGCGAGAAAATTTTGTCTGCCTAATATCCTATGTAAAAAAGCAAGTAGCTTCGCAAGGTTTTATTTTATTGCTCACGCTCGATAGAGCACAGAGTTGGCAATACAATGAATACAATGTAAAAGAAATTAATATATTTTCACAATAACTTCTTTTTTTTAACGGGAGAATCCTTCATCAGTGACCCCCTGAATATTCAGAAAGCAGAAGAAGAATTTGTAACGAAAAATGCGCTCGCGCTTACATGTGAAATGTAAATAAAACTCGATGTTATTGAGAATTGAATTTTCTTTGAAAAGATAGATAACATTATTTTTGTTATATATCATTCTATACGTATTTTCTTAGTAATTTGAATAACGTTTGGGCAAATCTCAGAAATCTTATAAACCTTATGTCAACAGCGTTTTAGCATTACAGATGATAATGAGAGCATATAAAAGTTCTGGCAAGCGATGCAGAAGCATTTGATACAGCATTTGAAGGAAGCTGAGTTGTGAAAATAAACTCGGCGAAAATAAAGTTTTAAAGAATATAAAAAATATTTCCTTTTTCAACTCAATTTCGAACTTTTAACCAACGACTTTTTTAGTAAAGAAAACTGATTGTTTATATACTTAAGAAAAAGTACATTAAATATATTTTAATCAAGCGTTTTTCTCTTAATTTTCTTTCAAACCTTATTTAATAACTTTTACTTAAATCAATTTCTTTCCAATTACGAAAATTTCATTTTTGTATATCTGGAAACAATTTAGTTGAATTGAAGAATATTTGTTTAGCCTTTTCTGTTCATTTAATTAAATATTTGTTTTAATAGTAACCATCACTAGATTTTCAGTTTGCAAATGTTTAAATATGACCAACGGAACCAATGTATATACTTTGTTAGAAGAATCCTTGTCATCATTGGAGCGTGAAGTTTAACGCACGCGAACACGTAAGGGCGTAGATCTGTTTTTTTTACGACATAATACAATTATTAACCTCATAACTTTTAACGAGAAATGCTTTTTAAAACGGGTTTCGGTGTTTATGTCAGGGAGTACCCAAGGGTCTTGCATAGCAAATTACCGAATCTATTTAATCGCTAGTGGTTCGCGCATCGATTTAGCTAAAAGCGAAGCACTATTTCATCAATAGTTGATTTGTTTGCTACCTTGTCAAAGGGAAAAGCAAGCTATCATTTTCCTCCTTTCCTCTGCGTTTTGGCAATAGCAACAAAAATGACACGAAAGTGTTACGTGATCGCAATAAAAACGTTTATTAACAACCGGTTTCGTCACAAACGAAACCTGGTTTTCAACTAGGTGATTACCCCGCTAACTTCGTATTTTCATACGAGCGAAAACTGTGTGAAAACTGGGTGAAAACTGTCAAAACTGGCGTAATTTTTTATGGCAACTGTGGAAGCTGGTGTAATGTTTTGAAATGTCTGATATATTCGTAACGCAAATCGAAAGGAAATATCCCGAAGACAAAAGAAATGCTTTCTTTGACCTTATCCACACTTTTGTCTTCGCGATGGTTTGTTTTATAACATGAAATATCTTTAAGAAAACTTCCCACACGCATTATCAGAGTCTTGAAGAGTTTCTGTTAGGAAATTTCTTTTTATTAAATGACTAATCACTCAGGAAATATCTTCTATTCCCGAAGAGAGCGAATTTGAGAAGGAACCATAGAGGAATAAAATGCAAACTAGTTTTTTCTAGTTCTAGGATATTTGCTGTTGAGCTTTTTAAAAGTTTAGCTTTCGCATATGAAGTTCGTAAGTTTCTGACCTTATAACGTACTAAATTCCATTCTGTCGCAGACCAGTAAGTGTATTCTATTGTAGTCCAAAGGCTATTATTTTTTATTATACATTTTTAGTAGTTTATTTGTGCAATTGACTAAATCTTATTTTATGTTTATTGAGGATGTTTAGCCTTTTCGACTGATAACCGCCGAAATGTTTCAGGCTCTCATGACAAGACAATCAAATTGTGGAATACTTTAGCCGATTGTAAATTTACAGTTCAGGAAGATGGCCATATTGATTGGTTCTCTTGTCCTTTCCAATCACTCCTATCCATTAATGGTTTTTTGTACGGTTAAGAATTTACAGCTTCCTGATATTTCCTGATTACTTTGCTAATGTATTGATACGCTTTTAGCTAAACACTAGTGCTGGGGAGTTTCAGTAAAGTATGTTTCTGACTTTCCCAGAGTCCAATTGCTGAATGTTAGCACTATCTAATGAATGAAGATAGAAAGTAATACATTATTTTATAAGAAAATAAAGTTTTTGAAGCGTTTAATTGCATTTTGGAATTTCTGATTAATTTGGCGCAATTAGATTTGTTTATAGCAACCTAATGTCAATAGAAACCAGTTAAGCTAAAATTTCTAGTTTAACAGAATCGCATCGATTTTTCCTCACTTAACAGAATCGCATCGACAATTTTCATCACTTGACATAATCGCGTGGAAAATTTTCAGCACTTTAACAGAATCGCTGCTATGTCTTCTGAATTAACAAAATCGTATCGATTTCTTCTCATTTAACATAATCGCATTGAAAATTTTCAATTTTAATGGAATCGCAGCGTTGCAATCTATTGAAAGTAACTCCATGCTCTCTCCATTCTCAACACATGCTACTTTTTTATAGACGATGTAAAGGAAAAAACGGCTTTTAGCGAAAAATCAAAGCCAGTTTCCAAATGCAGAGAGACGTTGTTCGAAGTGAATAATTGCGAAAAAAAATTAGAAAAACTTAAAAAATATCTAAAGAAAATATCAAAGAAAAAAGTTTTACGAAAATTATGTTATTTGTGTGCCATGTTATTAAAACATTGAAGATTAGAACATTTTTTTACGATTTTCAAAAAATGTTTGTCGAATCCTCTAAACAGCAAATGCGAAAAATATTAGTTTCTTACACAATAACGAGGTTTACGGGCAAGAGGAACACCTTCATCAGATCGAACATGTAAGTAATGGTTTAGATTAAAATTTAAATTTCTAAATATAAGAAAATCTCTGCTCCGATTTAAACAAGGAATAACAAGCATTACTCAGACAACAACCTTATTACACCCCTAAAGGAATAGCAACCGTTGATACTATAATGGAGCAAAAAATGATATTAGATCATCTCAAAATATACAAAAATTATGAAAATTATGAAGTAGTGTCATTAGTGTGTCAATTTATCCACCTTTTCGTATAATTGTTTGTACAAAGACTAGCGGTGAAAAAAAACTTCAAAAAAATATATACGAAGGAAATTATGACGACACTTGGTACATGTAGAGTAGTGTAATTAACCATTCTACTCACTTTTCGATTATCGCACATTTGTTTCAGTTATTGTTAAAGAAAGAAAGGGAAATCTGCTTCTTGCTTCGGAGCAATTTCCGTCTGGTTTTGTTATTTAACCCATGAATAGGTGTCAATGAAAACTTGAAAAATTTTGGCAGTGTTTTTAATGATGTCCTCATATACATGTCACGATCAATACTAAATACATCTTGATTTACTTGATTGATATTCTCCTTACTATTAATGAAGACTTCTCAAAGTCGCAAAAGTTCAAATGGAATGGTGTTCGTGCAAACATAATCGTGATTTTCCAAAATCATCTTAGATACATTACAATTTAAGTTCCTTGTTTTATCAAAAAGATCACTTTTGGTAACCACAAATCCCGCCTTGCTACGGTTTATAGAGTTAGTGTCATTTGGAACTTAAGCAGATTTTTCGAATCGAAAAAAATACTTAGAGGCGTGTGATAAGCTCTTAAGAATATGTCTCTTCGATAAGCCTAAATAAAGCAAAGTAAACAAAAGCGATGCAAAGTAAAAAAGTTACCGTGTGGCCTGTGGTGTCAGGAAGCGTACAGATCCCAAATGGGGTCTGTCGGGTTATGCCCTCATCAATTGAAAACTCACCGCAGCCACGGCCAAAGTAAGCTCTAAAAACGAACAGAATAGGCCAGCAATAAAGCCGATAAACCCATAAACAGTAGCAGTGAGTTGCCAGCACCATTTCATACTTGTATCACCAAGAAGAAGAGGAAATTTTGTAGCGTCACAAAATATATAACATTATAACATTCCTAAGTTTTAATTGTTACTTTATTACTGCAACTCTGCATTCAGTATATGTTTTGTCATTTGTTACGTAGGGAAAAGGGTCATTTTTGCGAGGAAAAATATAAAGCGAAAATCGACGTGTTCTTAATTGAAATTAAGAAAATTTACGAAAGAACAAATAATAAAAAGAAAAACAGACAATGACTGACGAAGTGCAACAAAATTTTGTGCGCTGTTTTATTTCATATTTAAAAAAGCAAGTAGATTCACAAGCTTTTAGTGCTGACGCCCAAGAGAGCGCAGAAGTGGCAATACAATGTTTAGCAGCCGCTTTCGATATAGGTGATGAGCGCGACGAGCCACAAGAACAAGCCGAAAGCGCTGCTGGCGATGCTAGCGGCAGTAGCAACACAGATGTGAAAGCCTGGAATCCTAAAGATATTAACTTATTTGAAATATTTGAAATGCATTACATGGAGAAGAATCCAGAAAATTTGAAATTAGCAGAGACAATAAAGAATGAGGGTAATCGTTTGATGAAGGAGGGGAAATACAATGAAGCCCTTCTACAATACAATCGGGCTATTACATATGATCCCAAGAACCCGATATTCTATTGCAATCGAGCGGCGGCTTATATACGCTTGGGTGAGAACGAGCGAGCGGTGGTTGATTGTAAGTTAGCCTTGGTATACAATCCCAATTACGGAAAGGCTTACGGTAGACTTGGGATAGCCTACTCGAATTTACTTAAGTACGAAGAAGCCCAACAATCTTATTCCAAAGCTATTGAGCTAGAACCAGACAATCAAGACTATCGCAATAACCTAGAAGTGGCTCGTAATGCACGTAATCATGCTCACGACAATTTTATACCACAACTGACGGGTGGTCTAAGTGTTATGTTTTCTAATCCAGCTATACGGCAATTATTCAGCAGTGCTGAAATTGATTTGGAACAATTGCAGAGTATGTCACAAAATCCTATGGTTGTGAACGCTATAAGGCAAGTGTTTGCAAATATTGCACCGTACGTTGGTTCAAGTGGAACAGGGGCAACACCTAATGCGGTGCCACCAATGCCAAACGATATATTGCAATTATTCCAAACATATGCTCAACAATTTGCAGCACCTACAGGCAACTCAGCTAATCAAGTAAATGCGGAGAATAACCCCAACGATCAGCAACAACAGCCACCACCTCCTCCTCCTGAGAATTCATAAGCCGTGCTCGTCGTGCCGAGAAAGAGTTATGGAAATGAACTGCATTTGCTTCTATGTGTTTATGTATGTTATGCATTCGCGAGTTTGGTTTAACGTTTTTAAAATGTTTTGTAATGTAGCATAGAATTACAAAGCATGCAAATAAAAATACATATAAATTACTTTATGGTAATAAATCGTAAAAATAAGTCTACTATTATTTGGAAAAGGTAAGACTGTTTTTGTACATGAAAAAATTATCTAAATTAGATAGAGATGGCAGTAAATAATTTATAAAATATTACTGAAAGTAAATATCACATATACACTGACATGGAATCAGTAATACCAGCACGACATAAGGGGCAATTAGGTTGCTGGTTAATAAAGAGTAGATGGGTAGCACAATCTTTGCACAAGCATAAGTGTCTGCAGGGCAGCAGGACAACTGACTTCAAACGATCTTGGCAGACTACACAACAATTCTCAAATTTTATTTGTCTGCCTGAAAATACTTCTTTAGTACACAGTATCGTCTTGTCTATGCCAGATCTGAAAAACTAAGCGAACTGACGATTATATGGTATTTTGTCTTTTTTTTTTTAATCTCTTTAAAACTCACTTTTCCAAATTTTCTCAGCCAAAACAGTAGAAGGGAAAAGCATATGCGACGGTGGAACCACACGAATTGCAAGACTAATATTACCATCAGAATGGAACTCACAAAGAACATATGGGTTACAAATTTTTCGACATGCGATATGCTCTCTCGAAGTACAGAGGCTATAAAATGCACAGCCAAATCCACCGCATCCGCTATAGTACCCAACAGCAATCTCGGGATCAACGTAAGTGTCCACCAAATTCTTTCAGCTATTAAAAGTATGGCATTGTACAGTAATGTCCACAAATCACACGCAAAGAGGCAAACATTTGTGGCCAGTACTTTTGTATGCAATTTAGTTTTGGTAAAAAACTTGCTTATATGATTTAAAAATAGAATCAGACTTTCTATAAAACATTCAACTCCACTAGTACTTGATGATTGCACGTAATTGGCAACAGTACGCACGCTGCAGTCTATTTCACATACAAAACCGTAAAACTCTTCGCCGAATATGTTCAATGCTGTGAAAATTTCCTTGAATAAGTCGAATATAAATTTAATTATTAAAAAAACCGAACGCCCTCCATGATAAGTGGCATTTAATATGAATACGAAAATTAAACGCATTGAGTGCATAAATGCCCAAACCGGCTTCACAAGAGCAGCAAACATTTATTTTATTTAATTTTATTACTCAATATCTTAGTTCAACATAATCAACTGACAATATCACATAACCACCATTTTTTTGAAAACTCATAACAAACTAGAAATCAATCCGACGCTTTAGACGTCCCAATGTAAAAAAAAAAAAAAATTAAAAGACATCTGATATTCATTTTTATGGTCTAAGTGTTGCAATAATTTGGTATCATTTGAGAATCGACAAAAGAATACAATAGTAGATTTAAAATGAGAGCTCCTTTAACGGTAATAATAAAAATTTTATTTACGTATTACAAAACTCAGCGCGACTCATTTAACATAGATCCGCATCTCATATTGGAATACATAAAATATACGGTGCTAAATTAAGATTACCAATCAGCAGCAAGAACTATCTAAAGTCAAATTGTATATTGTACTTGTGAAATATAACCATGCAGGAGGGATGTTGATTACCGATAAGTGTCTCCCAGAACCCGCAAAAAGGTATACGTAATGTGTCAACACAATACCGATCTTTCACATATTCATCGCTGCCGTTTAGTTCCTCTTCGCGCAAGTGTCTCTTCTTGTTTACGAACGATTTCCTTATCAAGGCAACCTTTTTTACAACGATTTCTCAATTCAATCATCAAAGACTGTCTGAGGTCATTATGGAACTAAGCTTTCATGTTGGCCAAGTACACAAAGCCAAGAAAGAAGAAACTGACTGCGAAAAATTTCACATTATCTGTTATAAAGGAAAAGATTAAACACAAACACAATTATCATCTAAAATATGAATTATAAATGTCAATGAAATCGAGATCAAAATTTGTACGAAGCAAAAATTTATTTTTTTAAAATTATAATAAACTTGAATTTCAAAACGTTATTTTGAAAATGAACGGTTTTTATGCATGTGTTAACGAAGCGAAATAACTTCATGTGTCTTTCTTCATTCGTTTCGTTTTGTACAAGTGCAAATATACCCTTCATCATCGTTTCTCTCTTTTCACTTTAAATAGAAGAGAGAAATTACTTAATTTTTTCTATTATTGCCCTATAAAGTCTTAGGCGTTTGTTTTTAATTCAGTTTATCAAAAAACTTAACTATTGATTTTATTAAGCAATTGTGAATAATTTCTAGCTATTTAACGGTTGAAATATAGTATTGTTCGCATTCGATTCAGCGGTTTGCTGTTCTTTGTGACCAGTCTGGGATAAATGCTTGACGATATCTACCCAATTCCAACCCCTAGGCCGGTCACCCTTATGATCGGCGCGATCCCATTGCCTGCGTTTTTGGGCTTTAGTTAGTTGTTCTTTCTTCGGTTCCTTCTTTTTAATGTCCGAACTATCTGAAATATGTATCGCGCTAACTCCTATTGTATTTAAATCTGGTGATTCCACTACTATGAGATCGGGCTGTTCGGACGTTAATTCATCTAAATGTTCTTTCAGGCATTCAAATAAGTTATAGGTCATACCGCAGCCCAACCAATGTTCAGCTTCTTCCATTAACACCGAGCGGACTTTTTCTTTAACAGCGGGAATTCTGGAAATAATATCATAACTATTTGCTCAACCATTGCGTTCAGTCGACTTACAAATTACGATTGTAGAACATTTCCATATTGATAATGGGCTTTTCTAAGGGATAATCATCACCCCATTCAATTTCCACTAAAAAAGATTTACAATCATCGTCTTCACCATACTTGAAAAAGAAAATAAATAAAAAATTATCTTATACTTAGTCATTATTTGTCTTTCTATTAATCATTGCTTTATTACTTTATATTGGAATTTTGTTGCATCTATTTCTTTAAAGGCATCGTCTCCTTCATAAATTGCTAATAAAGCTTCACGTTCATCTGCTTGAAGGTCCAAAGCTTCTGCCATGTTTTTGTTTTAAAGCTAAACGTCTTTTATTAATATTTTTACTAAAAAAAAAAATAAAAATGAATCTTAAGATTGTCAAATAAATAAATAAAACGAGCACAATACAGGCAACAGCTGTGAAGAAGTTGCGTTTACTTTATTTGGCTCTTGATGCTTGCTTGCTTAAACAATTTTCAATTATTTTACGATTTTACAGACAGCTGATCAGCTTGGAATCGTTTTTAGTTGAATTGCCGATTAATCAAGAAGAAGAAGAAGATATGTGAAATTTGATTTTTCGATGTGTAACGAAGGAATTTGAATACTTAAAACCGTTTTTTTATTTTTGTTGCATTTTTTTTTCTCGAAATAAAGGACTGCTGGATTTTGTTGTTACATTTTTCAATTTAAAAAACGAAGACAACAAAACCTTGTCTATAGTGAGACGTGCGAGAAGCGAAAGCAGATACTTAACTTTTGAATGGATTATATAGAATACATAACCGTTACGCTAGATTGTATTTGAAAATGAAATTAAGGAAAAAATCTAATAATATGGAAGGAAGAAATAAATTCATTAATATGCATTTTTAACAATGTAACTGAATTTTAAGGTTTTGTTTAATCCATTAAGTACTACTTGATTATTAGTTTCATTATACTAATAGCCTGAAAAGGTAATATTATTACATTATACCTTAATAATAATAGGAGTAATAATAATATTAAATTAACTTAGGAAAGTAATAATCTTAATTTGATGACGTATCGATCAATTTATTCAGTGTTAATATTGATATATGGATCAACAAGGTCAACAAGAATCTTAAAAGAGATAATGAGTAGTTTAGCTATAATAACAAACAAAAAAAGCAAAAAACAAACACTACTGATTTTAAAATTTACATTTTTTACAGCAAAGAATTAGTTGTGATCTAAGTTTTTGTAAGTAATGAAGTACAAAATAAAAAATATTAGCAAATATTGTATGAAGTTTTTCTATTGCTTTAATTTCGATGTAAGAATGTGATGAAGTAAAACGCCGTTTATGTTAAAAGTAATTATACATTAAAAGCCTCATGTACTTAAATGTTCAATAATCACTACATTTAGTACTCCATCTTGTAATGGGTAATAAAATTACTGGTAAGTATCATTCCGTAGACTGTTGCAATCTCTGCCCCGAGGACCAACCAATGCGAATTGTTAATCTTAAAAGAGGAAGTATGTCTGCTTATGATGAAAGAGGTAAGAATTTTTCTGAAATCTTGAAAAGACTTTTTTTTTCTAAAACTTAATAATTAAATATATAAGTTTAAAAATAAGTACTTAGTGCATAGCGATTACTATCTAAACTTTCTCCTTAAAACTGAGCTGCAATCTAGTATTTTAAGTTGATGACGACTTTGTTTGCCTCAAATGCACTTTACAGCCACGCACAAAAAAGGGGCGTAAGCTATATATTAAAACAAGTACAAGCACATCATAGTGGCTCAGGATCCATCATTAAATATCCTATACCAACCTACAATGATTCATATAACAACTATGAAAGCTAAATTATTTTATGGGAAGTAGTCGAAAAGGTGGTCCAATCCAAACCATTTTCATTAACCTGTCAGTGTAACTAACTTCATCAAAATGTCTCAAAAATTGCGGTGGGGGTTATATCTCAAGTCCTTCTGGGCGTTACATCCATCCATACAAAGTTGACATACCCTCGCACTCCAAGTGGTGTAGGTTATAATCAAAGGAAACTGCTTGCGTATCAATAAAAATCTTGTGTTCATTATTACGGTGAAATGTACCCTTTATGTGCTGTATATAATCAATGAAAGGTTTCGTAGTTATTTTGCTTTATTAAAACATCCAAAAATATTTTAATTATTACGTGTGGTAATGGAAATAATTGCACGTATTTAAATGGATACATAAATGCTAGGGTTTCATTGTTAAGTCCAGCCTCTCGTTTCACTGATACGTTAATCGATGTCAGCAGCTTTTTAAAAAAGGCAAAAAACTTTTTATTCGTTAACCGGTTTTACGATATGTACACAAATGCTGTTCTATCTATTATTAAAAAAAATTTTCTTTACCACAATATAAATGAACGGATCGTAAGTAATATATAAAACAAATTAACTTTGAACTGGTTCGCTTTTCTTCCTTACCTACGTTCTTGCTTAATTTTAATCAGACTTAATCAAGTTTCATACGAGAACAGCAGCAATACGGTTGTGATATTGGGAGGATCAGTAAACTGTGTTGCTTCTGTAAGCGTAAGCTGTAAACGTTACAATTAGTTTTACAAGAATGTTTGTTTAATTTTTCTAAAGACCCGAACGAATAGTGGCCGTATCCCAATATTCGCTGAAAGCGGAGTTATATATAAAAATCACTTTTACTCGTGTCATATCATGATTGTGTCCATGTGTCTTGCTTGTTTTAAATTTGGGAATCACTTCTTCGTTATGACTAACTAAGAGGAATGCACAAGTAATAATCTACATATCATACACCGTAATAACTTAATTGATAGTTTCGAAATTGTAACAAATGCACGGCAAGGCTATGGAAGCGAATTTTTACGACAATTATAAACAACAGGCGGAATGTGAAAACACTTAAGAAATTCGCCTTAAAGTCAATCTTTTGAGGACATTTTTCAGGTAAATAAAATTCTTCACATTGAAAGTGTCCAAGCAACAGAATATATCAATTATCAAATTGATAAGTAAAGTATGAACGGAGGAGACACGCCAAAGTTGGAGCATCCATATCTATATTTTTATCTATTTATGTAAGCCCTTCTTTTGAACATGAAGTGCAATGCTATCAAATAGTGACCCGACGACCCATTTCACATTGCAATAGGTTGATATCATTTTTCGTCAACAAATCCTTTACACCCTTTACAAGGACCAATTACGCAGCAAATGTGTGCTTTGCAAAACGCCAAATTGGCCCAAATTGAAGCGGCATATATCGGTTGCCTTGTGGCTCGAAATTTTATACGATTGTATGCGGCCGGGCGATATTGGTTATTTGCGGCCGCTATTTGGTTCCGTTAGTGTAGTTGCCGTGCTCGTGAACATCTGTGGAGACAGGGAGGTCGTCTATTCGATAGACTTTACTTCTCGTGAAAGTTCGCATAAGTGCAAGGTTTACGCGTTCGCTCTTACAAGTTGAACGACATATGCTTACGTATTTAATATCAGAATAGATCGATACACAAGCACTTTTATTTTTATATCTTTAATTACGCATAGCTTTGCAATTTTAAAATATGAACAAAAAATTTCTGAGAAAATCATCTCACTCATCTTAAGGATCTCTAGAAGGAAAATCCAATGTTCGATTAGTCAAAGGTGTTGAACTCACCGTTTAACTGAGCGAAACAAAAATGCTGAATAAAGTGACGTCGTGTAAAGTGACGACGACGAAGAAGAAGAATATGAAGCGCCACTAATAGATTATGTAAATAAATTGTTTAATATAACTAAAAGTAACGATGACGTCATTAGTTTAACATTACTACGTACTATGCATTTAATTAACTGCACTCTCAGAGCAAACTATTTGGCGGCAAATATAATTATTTGAAAAAATAAAAACAAATGTAAAACAAAGTTAGTAACTCACCGATTTATTGGTTATATGTATATATTTACAATGATGCGATTCAAGTCAACATCAACAACAACACACCCACATACCTAACAAATAACATTACAACGAAACTAAATAAAAATTGTATCGATTCCCTACCGTGTGTGTGTGTGTGTGTATGTATGCGTGTGTGTGTGTGAAGTACTCTCCCCTATGCACTTGAGTAAAGTTCTTACGCCTTCATACGTATTCATTCATCTATATTTGCTCTTTAATTTTAATAATCGTGTACCATACAGTTTGTGTAAGCGATCGGTAGCGAAAACATCAAAGTAACGGGACAAGAAAAAGAAAATAAACGTTTTTTAGAAATAATAGAAATAAAAACAATTTTAGGAAAAGATCGCGACTATGTCAACCTGGTACTCAAATTACTTGCCAAACTGGCTTAATCGCTGGTGGGACCAGCCACGACATTTGAGTCCTTATCGTAGCGTACGTCCTGCTACTGAAAGTAATTTTATTTAATAAAATATCAATAAATTATTTAAATTCATGATCCGACGCCAAGTCATCAATATCAGTGAGTTCGATTTTAATGAAAACGTTTGCGATTTTCTTTTTTCTCGAAATATTTTAAGTGATCGCTCACGTTCTTGTGCGCTTTGATTTAAGCCGTTATTTTTTTTCCTCCTTCATTATCATCTTTTATAAATCCGTGCAATTTTGCGATGAGTTGAACCGTGAAAAAACCTAAATAATGAACTTCTGCTCGAAAGCAATCCTCACAGAAGGAAAAAATTCACAGCTTCACCTATATCTGCCAAGTGCCAGGCCATATGAGTGCTAATGACATTGAAGGACGTGAAATTGATTTTGTCTTGATCGAGCAGTCAAAGTATCATATCACTGAATAAGTCACTGTTCGGACACATATATGTAAACACTGTCGACAGACCTGGACACGTGTTAAAATTTCAAAATATCTGATTATTTACTTTTTTTTTGCGATAGAAGGCTTGAAGTAGCTTTACTTGTTATTTAGTCGTCATTTAACAGCCCGAGTGAACATTCCGTAATTCTACGGATACGCACTGTACGTCTGTGTCTAGGAGAGAGTGCACTTCTGGACGTTTCGGTCAAATGCCAAGCTAATGTTTAGCGGCTTCTGCACTCCCATAGATGTCGTTTTAAGCAGTTGAATCATAGTCTACCTCATTCCGTCTTGCTTCAGGACCAATTGTAACGCCTACACCACTTTTGGTACACGGTGTTTTAACTCAGTGCGTTCGCATGTAACACGCAAAAGGGCTTAATATGGAGTCACCTCTTATTATACCGATCGATTCAGAATCATTATCTGAATTGATCTAAGCCTGCCTGTCCCTCTAGAGTCTGCACACGTAATCTAGTGTTCAACCTATAGGTCGCAATTTTTGATATACTTTATCAAAATGAGGTACAGTGACGTATTTTTGCCCAACCACGGACGCTATTGATAATGGTTCGGATCAGTTCTCTTTTTCGACCGCTCCTCATATAACGCCCTATTCTGAAATGTCATTAAATGAGAAAAAATTGTACTTTCCAATATTTCTCACTGGGAAGTCGAAATTGGAGTAATTCTGGAGATTTTCCGTAGATTAGTTTTACCACAAGATTTAGAAAATTAAAACAATCCCAGAATTTTGGCGGTAATCGTTACGCACATAAGATAAGCGTTTGTGGAGGAATCGAACGGTGTAAAAAACGGTTTCTTTCAATTTGTTTCAATATGAATGCCGCGTAGAATTGTCTATTGTGTCTTCAGCGTATGGATGTGCACGATCTCCTCAGTTACTTTGCTTAGCGTTAGTTTTATTTGCAAACCTTTGCAAGAGTTAGCTCTTCAGGTGTTCAGGAAAACCTTTGCTTAGGAGGGCTGCGCCCGCCATTCGTTATTATTCACCGTACAGTTGTGACCAAGAAATAAAATGAATTTGTTTACAAAATGCAAAGAAAGCTTTTTTTATCCTTCCCAATGAATCTCATCGCTTTAATCGCTTTCATATCCACTCATGTAGTGTTCTGTATTAACTGTTTGGTCTAACGAAAGAAACTCATTAATCGCATCGCTACGATGATTGAAGAGAACTGTCAACTTGGCCTTGACTTTGGTACGGTTTTTTCAGTCTTGGTTCAGCTGCAAAACTTTGCGATATTCGCTGTTTTCGGGTCATATGCACAGATTCTCTCTCGCAATGACCGAATGAATGAATTTCGTGTCTCACAAACGTGAGACAAGATCGACGACCTGATTTTTTTGATTTGTTTTCAAAGGCACAAATAATTTTGTAGCAATTGAATATATATTGAAGGTGGGACTACCAATGCACCCAAGAAGAAAAGAAAAGGAGAAATTTCATAAGCGTGAGGTAAAGTTTAAATGAAAAATTCATTTTACTTTTTATTCACAGTATTACCTCAGAAGCTTTTGCGGGGGCTATCTTTATCACTTATGTTAATGAAATTGAGAAAATGAAATATTTCTTAAATATTTTATACGCAACTATCTATTGCGTATGTATGCATGTACACACGTGTATTGCAAATTGTAGTTGTGTACAATTTTTTATTAAAATTCGAATCTCAGACAATGATGATGTCATGTGTTCGTTAATTGTTATGTTGTTGCGTGTGTTTGTTTATTTAAAAACATTTCTTCTTCCATCAAAAGCAATTCGCTCAAAAGGATGTAAATTTTTCTTCATTTCTCTTAAGATGTTTTACTGAAAAGTCATTTTCGACATAAAGTGTAAACAAAAAGTAATTTTTCCCACACGCGACTTTGGTAAGTCAAACATTAGACACAAACATTATTTCAATTTGCAAAGTGTTCGCGATCGATATCATGGTGAAAGAATTATTCCTAATTGGAATTTCAATTATTGAATTGTTGTTGTGCAATTAATAAATGTTACGATTACAAACACACAAAATTTGTTTTGCCAATGGATATATGTGCGCGTTCGGTAGGAACGATAGACTGGCTTTTTGGCTTTCAAGCGAACGTACAAAACGCATTACTCTTTTAAAATGGACTTTTTAAATGCAGGTCAAATAATTTATTTAAATTTTTTTTTTATTTCAAATACACAATCTCAACTCTTCGATGAAGTAACCATAAAGCATTTTACATAAATTACTTTTCGCTTGGGTACTCGTTCACTTTGTATTAGTGTGAGTGGGCCAGCGGAATGGAGGGTTTAATGTATGATATATATGTGTAAGCATAGCGTTCAATATCAGTGAGTTGCTGGAAATATTTTTTAGTTTTTCCAATCGCAAGGCACACTTTTATATGTTTGTACATTTCATTAATTTCCATCAATTTAGCTAAGCGCCGATTTGTACAAATCCAAGCATTTTAATCTTAATATTAATCGAAAGTAATTTACACGATGCAATTTTCGCCCTAAGAAATTTCATATAAAATTATTATCAAACTTCATTTAAGCCTAGTCCGTAGACTACACGAGGAACTTACTCTTTGCTTTATGGAATATTCCTACGTCATTCGAGCATTTTTAAAGTTCTCCTTCGATGGTGGTCGATAATGGCTCGAGCTTTTTCATGCAACGATTACAGTTTCTTAGATCGTAGAAGACTCATATGTCCATCTCTCTGCGCGCTCGAACATTTACACTGATATTAAGCAAAAAGTGCCATCAAATTCTGGCTTTCTATTAAATTTTTATTGACCGAATCTCTTCACAATTTTATGAAATATATTACAATGTAAAGTATTTATTGTACATTTTAGGTGTAAGGGACAAAATGAAAAATTTTGTATCATTTGCGAGAGCTGCTTTCGATATTTGAATTCTTGAAGAGTTTGATAAGTCGCTTTAAAAGGAAATTGGTCTCACTTTTAAGCAAATGAACTTTTCTTAATGCTAGCAGTTGAAGATTACTCTTACAGTCAAGCCTTCTACAACGTGATTCTTGCGCGTTCGTTGTATTCAAACCTGAACATATTGAACTCAGAATTAATTCAACTGAGGAAATGCGTTCCGTGGAAACCTCCTCGATAACACATAGAAACAAGAGAAATTCGATAAGGAGTGCCACTGTCGCTCAAGTTTCGTACAAATGAAAAGAATGCCTGCCGTGCCCGCATTTAGATAGAATCTAAGAAACATATAATTTGCATTTAGATCAGAACTATTCAGACCTATGTGAAAACTGCACTCTCAAGGCATGTGTTTGCAGATAATCCGTTTAATAAATAACATTTTTCAAGTGAAATTCGAGATTAGTTTGTTCTATCGCTCATCATTACTCTCAAATGTCTCTTCTTGCTTCTGGGAATTTTTTTCTTGTCTTTCAAAAGAAATATTTTATAATTCCTTTAATACCTCTTCTTATCCCGCCAAGCAATTTTCAATTATTTGCAAGATCAAGACGCGCTTTTTCTCATATTTGGGCCAGAGCACGTTAGTGTATTAAATTTCACCTGAATTATTTGAAAAATTGAGACTCTAAGGTGAATACAAGAAAACTAGACGAAGATATGGAAAGACAAAGAATCATTTTCTGAATCGGTGGGCAATATAATATATAGGACTATTTGAAGTTCTTCACAGAATTAATCATATTCTTGTGCCGCAAGTGATAGGGTGTAGGTAGGCGTAGGCAGCGATCTAGCGCAAGCCAAAAATCACCTCTTTCTAGAGGTGCGACCACAGGAAGAAAGGATAGGACACAGACCACAAGAGGAAGGATTTATCCTAATCTTGGAGCAGCCGCACAAATATAAATAAATTATGAATATTCTCGATCAGTGTAAAATTCAATCATTATTGTCACATCTATTGACATCGTCTTTCATCACAAGTTTTGATATTTGAAAAGTAATGTTTACATACACATATATATACGCCGTCTTCTATATTCTCGCCATTTCATAATTACAATCGTTTTTTTTTGCTTTCAATTATTATATCTTTTGAAGTTGCTTTTAACATGTTTAGGTGGTTTTAAGTGGCGCCCTGCTATTTTTTCGCCAAAGTTTTAAATGGCATTACAAGGGGACTACTTTACCGGAAAGAAAGCTGCCTCAATTTTTCTCATGGCATATGGTATAAAAAAGAGGTATATAAAAACACCGTGTTATGGGATGCTTGACCGTATTATTCATGGATTAGAAGGTGACTGCTTGAAAAACCACCTTATAATCTCTTGAGGCAAATTGAACAAAAAAAAACTATAACTTGATAACTTGGCTCATGGCTTTACATAGAGAAAATTAGGAGAGAATAAGAAGTCTACCTGCGTACGCAAGGCGCAAGACTGTAGTCTTAATCATAAATGATAATAACGTTATTATCTTCTTGTATACAAGCTGAAAAGAATTAATCATATTTTTCACAGAACTTAACGATACATTTATTCAATATTTGATTTATGTGGGTTGGACATGTTTACCAAACGGTTAAATATTTGAAAAATAAATTTGAAATTTGCATATTACAGATATGTGTGGGCGGGTGTGAAAGCGTAAACACATTTAAAAAATATGTTAAAGGAATTTTTGTATTCCCAATAGAAACACGACACTAGGTTTATTCTTGGGCTTGTAGGTCACGAAGAGAAGCTTAGAAAGTATATGCAGGCTGCAGACGACAGTTTCTATTTTTTACAAAATTTACTGTGAAATATTATAATAAACAAATGCCCGAGAGAGAAGCTATTCTATGCTATCGCCGAATAACCTTTATGCTTCTTTCATTCTTCAGCGACAAAGCAGTGTCAAACGAATGTTTATTGTGATCTGTTGTTGAAATAATCATTCCGGGAATTAGTTGACCCTAACCTTTCGATGATATGGGCATCGAAATTTGCAGAAATATAATATTCTGCGGTTAGGGCGTTGTGTGAACGCGCAGCATCTCGCTGGAAATTGCAGGGTTTGTCCGCAAGTATACTACCAATCCCGGGTATCATAATTCTTCATAAAATCTCGATATAGGCGACAGCGTTCACTTGAAACCCCTATTGAATGACGAAGAAGTGAAAGAAGGTATGCTTCGTTGGCCATAATTTTCGATAACATAACAAGCATAGGATATCTGGATAGGATGTGTGTGATAACCATCTGTCCTTCAGGGACTTATGCAAAGCACATTTTCCGCAGTTAATTTTTAAATACTGTAGCACCGCACATAAAGTCTTAGTCTAGTTTCGAAAGTGAGAGATGAAATTACCCAAACAAAGGTTCACACTCGATACTGATTCAAATTGATCGCGATCCTTCTAAGAATATATCCACAAAATTAATCCACAGTTTAGTGGAAGTGGTGTTCTTTAATTTGCTAAAAATATTTCCTCAGGTCAACTAAGCGACCAGTAAAACAAAAACTGACCTCGGTCGAGCAAGCGAACCTCTTCTCACATATGTTTAATAAAACATTTTAATTTTGTTATATTTACAGATTCCATAACAGAGGACATTTTAGGTGTAATAAGTATTGATTTATATCTGGAAGAAAATCATGATGAACATCACACCGATTTCTTTAGTGCTGCCAAAGAAGCTCTTATTGTGCGCAGAGGTGAACCCTTCCGAATGCGTCTAAATTTCAATCGTCCTTTTAATCCTAACCGTGATGCAATTAGTTTCATATTTACGGTGGCCGATGAAAAGAAACCTAGTCCTGGTCATGGGACTTTGATAGGTATAGTCCCTAGGGATGGCATAGATAATTTGGGTGATCCGTTGGACTGGGGCGCTGGAATTGAAGAGCATGAGGGACAAAGTTTGCAATTGTTAATAAAACCATCAGTTACCTGTCCAGTAGCAGAATGGAAATTGGATATCGATACGAAACTGTTAGGAGGTGGGTCGAGATCATTTATATTACCTCGACCTATTTACATACTTTTCAACCCTTGGTGCCCAAATGATCAAGTTTACATGCCAGTAAGAGATAAACGGAAAGAATATGTTCTACACGACACGACACTGATATGGCGTGGCTCGTATAACCGTTTAAGGCCCTCCGTTTGGAAATTAGGTCAATTTGAGCGACATGTTTTAGAATGCTCTTTAAAATTATTGGGCACAATAGGTCGCGTACCGGCCAGTTACAGAGGCGATCCTGTACGTGTATCTCGGGCCCTATCGGCTGCTGTTAACTCGGTAGACGACGATGGAGTAATTCTGGGCAATTGGACTGAAGACTTTTCGGGCGGAATCGCTCCCACCAAATGGATTGGCTCTACGGAGATATTACAACAATTTTATAAAACTCAAAAACCGGTCAAGTATGGTCAGTGTTGGAATTTTTCAGGCGTTCTGACTACTATAGCTCGTGCACTGGGTATCCCTTCAAGAATTGTTACCTGTTATTCCTCGGCTCATGACACCCAAGCCTCTTTAACTGTAGACATATTTGTTGATCACAATAACAAGAAAATGGACGCCGAGACCACAGATTCCATATGGAACTACCACGTATGGAACGAGGTTTGGATGACTCGCCCGGACTTAGGTGTGGGTTCAAACGGCGTTACCTACGATGGTTGGCAAGTAGTGGATGCTACTCCTCAAGAGGCTTCTGATAATATGTATCGGGTCGGTCCAGCTTCGGTGGCGGCAGTTAAAAACGGTGAAATTCTCCGATCCTTCGATTGCGGTTTTGTTTTTTCAGAAGTGAATGCCGATAAGGTGTATTGGCGTTATAATGGTCCTTTTCAACCGATTAAATTGCTGCGCAAAGATACCATGGCTATTGGCCATTTAATTAGCACTAAGGCCGTTCTGAAGTGGGAACGCGATGATATAACCCATTCATATAAATATGAGGAGAGAACGGACGAAGAGCGCAATGTTATGTTGAAGGCTTTAAAGCAATCCAGACATGCATTTAGTCGGTATTATTTGAATGATAGTTTCAATGAGGTCGAATTCGATATGCAACTAGGAGATGATATAAAAATTGGTGAAAATTTTGCGGTTGTAGTAGCCATCGCCAATAGATCGTTACAAAACGCTTACACTGCCATCGGACAATTGAGCTGCGATACCGCTTTATATACAGGTTTGAATGGTCAAGAGGTGAAGTCCATGAATTTTGAAATTAAAATTCAGCCGGAAGCCAGCGAATACATACGCATGGAAGTCACTTTTGAGGATTACTATAAGAAGCTAACATCGCAGGCAAGTACTAGCAAAGAATTATTGAAAAGACATCAAGCGTTAAACTTATTGTTGTAGGCCTCTTTTAACATCTCTTGTTCGGCTGTGGTAAAAGATACCGACTACGAGTATTTCGCTCAAGATGACTTTCGTGTTCGTAAGCCTGACATAAAGTTTACCTTTCAAGGCGACGTCGTCGCCAAACAGGCTGTGGACGTTATAGTACGCTTGACTAATCCTTTGCCAGTACCTTTGCGAAAGGGTACATTTCACATTGAAGGTCCCGGCATAGAGAAGCCTTTACGTTTCCGGGTAATTGTTGTTTCTATCTCATACGAAATATCCTAACTTGGTATATTTCACAGATTGCGGAAATTCCAGTGGGCGGCACAGCAGCGTCAACCTTTAAATATGTACCACCTTACGCTGGTAGAGCCTCATTGCTGGCCAAGTTTTCGTGCAAGGAACTCGATGATGTTGATGGTTACCTGCATTACGAAGTCCGTCCCCATCCAGATGACATTATTAATCCTTATCGTTCCAGCCATAACATTATACGAAGAAGAAATGACGTTATTGCTTAAAGGGCTGCCTTCCGTTATAACTCTAAGTTCATTTATTTATATATATTTTAGCTAAGAATTCTTTCATTTCTTTTTTTATTTTATTTATTTTCTTTCCTATTAACAAAGAATTAATTCACGATAAAGCTTTCACCAAAAATGTTATTGTAATTGTAATATCATTTAAAGGTTTAACCATCCTACACCCAAAGCAAACTCAGGCTTGCTATTCGTTTTTAAGTAATAAATTCCTTCAGCGGTATGAGGAACCGGATCTCCCATCAAGATCTTTTGCCCAGTACAATTTTTACCTTTGATTTCATCTAAGCTGTTACAAGGCACCGCATAAAATCCCTTAGTACTATTAATAGATTCAGCGTAGTATTCATAGGAGCGACCGTGACTGCAGCCAGCTGATCAGAAAAGTAGTTTTGTTAAGATTATTTTTCGAAAAAATGATTAAAATAATTTACTAAATATTTGATTGAGCTCAGTGCAACCGGGTTGCGGGGGATTTCCACCATTCGGATAGAAGTCGATGTGCGCTATAGGCTTTTTAAAACCTAAAAATCCGGCACAACTATGTATGACATCCACGAAATCCCCATCTGTGCGATCTAAATGATTTTCAGGACCAATACAATCTTCAAAAGCGGGCCGGGCTGGATCTAAACCTTTTAAGAGCAAGAAGTTCAACACTCCACGGGGTTAATTGATCAAGACTTTAGCATGTGTTTTGCAAGACTTCATCGCAGTCAAAATAAATATAAATAATCGATATCCGAATGATTGTTCGAAGTCAATGATTTAGCAGAAAACTTTTAATGCCATTCAAAACTAAGTGAAATGCTAAAAATACTCAAGAAACTTGATAGAGATAGAAAGACAGGCAAGCAGTCTACTCTTCATTTCCCTTTCATGGGAAAATCTATTCCTGAATAATCTTCGTAAATGACTACAATTTATTCGGTATTATTTCGATGAAACTTTTTTTGCCTTGTGGATATTTTTCCAGACTTTGGCCTGTCTCTTTAGTGAAAAAAACAATTTATCGCATGCGACTTTTCTTCGAGATAATTCGAAATAATTAACATTAAACTTTTCACGCCATTCCTAGCTAATTGAAGTGCAAAAATAGATAAAAAAAAAAAAAAAAAGAGGAACAGAGATTGACGACGTAGCTGTTATTTTGCCCCTCATCTTGGTTGCTTCACCATCAAAAATAAAAAAAATATTCGCCGCAACCGAGTCTTTTGTACCTTTTACCGCTTAACACTGATCAATGATATGTGGACTTTGATTGATATCTGACGAGTGGCTCTTTAATATTTTATAATATTAAGTAGGTGTGGGTAATTTTTCTCACTTTTCCCCCTAAATTTTTATCGTTGTATTCATTATGGTTTATAAGTAACGAGCAAAAAACCAAATTATTATTATTATTATTTTTGAACATAGAGATGATCTCAGGTTATGTTACACTTTGGTTGTACGCTCGGAACGATTTAGCTCAATTTCAATGCCAACTCGCGTGCAAGAACTTGCAATCTTTGCGCCAAGTTTGTGTTAGCTACATTTTTGCGACCAAGAGAATGTCTATCACAAACAGACGGGCGGACGGAATTTGATGCTGATCAGAAATATATATACACTTGATGGGGCTCCTCAGAATTCCTTCTGCATATTGCAAACGTTTTCAGAAACTGATTATACCCTCCATCCATCGGTGATCGGTGTAAAAATAAATCATTCATACGGTTACGAATTCCTGCAATTTTTGTATTCCCGCCTCATAACCAAAATCTCTCTCTTCGCGAAGATCGAATGGAATTGTAATAAGATACAAGAAGAAGATATTTTTAAAACTTTTTTCTTTCGCATGGATTTTCTTTTTCCCCTTTCCCTCTGCTTTAACATTCTGTCTCGTCTTTTGTCGAAACAAGATTATTGCCGCAAAGAAGGGACACTGAATATCTCCTTAAAAAATATTTACCTGTAATTCTGCCCACACGATATTTCGTATAAGCTCCGGCGTAGCCCATGATGTGAGCACCCAGCGAATGTCCAATCAAATGTATACGTTTTGGATCTGCGTTCTTGGTTTCTACCAATAAATCGATTAATTTAGCGACAGCACGACCAACCTGTACCGTATAACGAGCAGGTCGTAAGTAGTATATATTGTCAGCTTGATCTTTCCAATTAATGGCTGAAAAAAAAAAGAGAACAAAATATATTTTAAATCCTTATCTATAACATTTTGTTCCATGATAAATTACCAAATACGTTGATATGTCCTCGTTGCATGTAAGCTCCTCGTATTGATTTTATGGAATTACTTTGTGTGCTCGATTTCCAGCCATGAACTAAAATTTTTGTATCCAACTTGGGATTAAATTTTTCCGCCATTTCGGCCCAGGTATCGCGTTTAAAGCGGGCAGTAGTCAGAACATCATCGTCGCTAATTAGCAAATTGCTAACAACCGGTGCGGACGGTTTGGAACTAAATTTGAAACAAATTTCATAGATATTATCTACAACATCCAAAGAGGTAAACACGCATACAAGTCTTGATTGGAAACTCGTGGTAACAAATCAATCAAAGCAAATGTAACGCATGCAATTAATTGCGAATTTATTTTCAACGAACCTCTCGTAGTATTCAAATTGTATGATCTGAGGTCCGTCGTTGCGATTATCGTCCGGTGGTGGTTCGACAAGATATGCTACTTGAGGCTCACCATTACCATCCGGCATATAAATCCAAGTGTCGTTGTAATCCTCTTCATTTAAATCCACTTGAGCTCGTATACCAACTAGAGAAGAATGTAAAGAAGAATTAAAAGAAAGAAAACGTTAAACTTTCCCGAATTTTTTTTTTTTTGATTTTGTTTTTTAATAAAGCTTTACACAGCACCAAAACGGGTCGAAAGAAATTCAATATCGCTGCCACACTTAGAAAGAACCATTGTATTAGCAATATACTGCCGGACAATTCGTTACGGCAGGGGCTAATAATATTACATAAGCAATGTAAAGAATTTGACATAATCGACGCACTCTTCACTTAAGACGTTCGTTGAGCTTGAAATTTAATTATAAAATGAATTTATTTATAAAATTTTAAAGCGGCTTATAAAAGCGCAGGACAGAGAGGTTCGTTCCAAATAAAGGCATATTAAGTTTTTTTCATTTATTGGGAACACTAAGAATGAGAAAGACTTGAAGACATAATCAACTCAAAACCTATTACGTATTCACCACGCGTTCTTTCATTTATCTTACACAATTCACTGTCACTGTCGCCGTTAGTAATAAAGCCTCGATTTCAATATCACTCTTACTCGTTACACTACACATTGAATAAATGGTTAATAGTGCAATAGACTATCTTTAAAATAAATCGGAAAAAGAGAAGACTCTGCTATACGATTTATGCTACACACACACACACACACACACACACACCAGAAACCAGAAACTCAAGCAAATCAACTTAGTTTGGAGTTATTTTAAAGCACCGAACACGTTCAATAAATCAATGAATGAATTTTACAAAACTCGGAGATTGTACTCTCGATTTATTATAAACTTTGTGACAACAAACCCTTATATAACACTGAACACTGAAGTTTGAATCTTTTCACAACGCTTGCAGAACTAAGCATACCTTGAAGATAATGTACTTGTTGCTTACTTGCCGAAAAGTTTGTCATACGCTCAGCTTTGTTTCACGTTAATGGATATTAGTTAATGACACTTTTATTAAACGTTTACAAATTTAAACAACTTTTCTCCATTATATTAAATATAAAAAAAAAAAAAAAAAAAAAAAAATGAATAAAGATTAACTTTCCTGTATCAAATTAAACAAAGAATACGTGATTAAGGAAACTACTCTTCTGCGCAAAAGTTTAGAGATCTTAATCGTGATTTCAACAAACAGTCTTAAAAAAAAAAACAACAACGGAGAGAGAGTCCTAAATGCTGACAAGAAGTATAAGTCATTTAACCTCTAGCTAGAAACTCTTGATCAATTTAAAACCCTTACGGCAATTCCGATCCGGCTTTGTACATGTTGCGCTATACCCATGCGAACTTAAGTTTACACAAAATTATTATTACTACAACAAAAACAATACCAACTTAAGGTATACGAATCATGCATCTATGCATTTATCGATGATAGGCATAATTTCGTACGAAGATTTCTTCAAATAGTGCTTGCAGTTATTTTCTCACTCGCCTATACAGCCATAGATCATCCTTTACGGTGAACACAAATATAATTATTTATCAAAAAAAAAAGAAAAAAAAATTATGAATGAAAACACACTAAAACGCTTTGCGTTTATTTTGAACTACAGCTTAAATTACATGCAAGAAATTTAAAATGTTTGAGCAAAACAATTTATATTAGGTGTTCAAATAGATTCTCAATATTTTTAAATAAATTTCGAATTTAATTAAAAAATGTTATAAACCTTGATTAACAACTGCAAAGTTTCGAGGCGAAAAAGTTATTGATTTTCACACCATTTTCTGAAGTAAAGCTATTCAGAACAGGAAAGATGTGGCGAATAGTTCCACAATCGGGCGATGTCCCTAGCCCAAGTTCAAGATCCCCATTGCTGCATGTTGGACAGGCGCACACGACTATTCACTCATCACATGACGACTTACGATGTCCCTAGCCCAAGTTGAAGATCACCATTGTTGCAGATTAGACAGACGTACACGGACATTCACTCATCACCATGAAATCTGAGAAACCACTTTCTAACTATTTTATAGCTTACTGCTAATTCAATCCAAGCTAGCTTAAGTTCCTTTAATTTTGTCACATTAAAAAAAATTCTGTGGGCATAGAACTCTGAATTTGTTGTTGACTTTTATTTACTATAAAATATCTATAATCAAGTGTTTCCTACCTGTTCTAGCCCTGCATACACCTGTTTCCACCAAAAGGGATTATTTTGTTCCCGTTTCTATGCGTAGTTACCATAGCCTCAAAATTGATAATAAGAAGCTAGCATTTGGCATAGACATTGCTTGATCGATAAGCAATCTAAAATGCAAAAATGGCTGTGATAAGTCCACAGAAAAGCCTGCCGTGAATTGGAAACTAAAAGGACCTCGAGAGAACGCTGACAATTTTTTCATATTTTCATCGATAACTTTGGTTCCCGTGAAGATATTTCGGGAAACTCGTCGATGTTTTTTCGAGGTTGTCTTATGTTTTAATCTATTCTGAGCACACGATAGCTCACAGCAAAACTACTAATTACTTTATCAATGGGTGAAATTTGTACTGGCTTTTTAGAAAGTATCCATGAAGTTTAATTTTATTATAAATATAAGAGAAAAAGACCTAAGTGTTCTTAAGGCATTTCATTTTTTTGGTAGGAAACAAAAAAAACAAATTAAAATCTTACTTTTTGCAGAATTTCAAGCCGATTCAATAGTTTCCCTTGATTAACCAGAGTTCTCTTAAGGCACTAAAGAATATCATTGTTAAATGGGCGATCTGTGCCGCGACCACAGATTTTATTAGATAAGCATCGTCCTATTCACTTTAATTCAACTTTGTATACGATCAGAAAAAGTTAACATTTTATTCACATCACACACATTATCTAAATGATCGATTTTTCTATATTAAGTCAAGTAATTTTTTCGATTATCTTTTATTTATTTATATTTCAATACATTTTTGGCAGATGAACTTACCAATGCACGTGCACACGTGTAATAAAAGAATTCTAATTAGAAAGTTTTCTACTTTACACATTTTTCATTTACGTGTTCATTAAAGAACGAAAATCATATTAAAGGAAAAGAAAAAAATAAATTTACTTTTTGCCTTTTAAAAGCTATGTTCCACTTACAACTGAGCTATCCGCGTCCAATTAATAAGCCTTTAACCAGCTCGTATTGAAGGTTTTCTATTTGCCGTTATACTCACGGCACCTAATATCTAAATGGTGCCCTTGCCAAGTTACTATTAATTACGAATACCCTACAAAAGTGTATGCATTCTTGTTTCTGATCTTACCGTGCATTGAGAATATGATAATAATCTGAAGATTGCTAAAAAAACAGTCAAGGAATCATCCAGTGAAGAGTCTGTTTCGTTAAAGACGCTTGCGCTGATCAATAATATTTCCCTGAGTTTCCATAGCTTACTTCTGAAAATTGTACAGCTACAAACCTACGGGAAGATATAAACGAATAGCTACAATTAAGTCCATGTATGTATATACATATAATACAAAACCTTTCGTTCCGTTTGCTGTTCTGCCGAATGAGAGCGGAAAGGGAGTTTCCAGTCCAATCAAGATCAGGCATTTACTGTACGCTTTTGAGCCATTTATGCAACCTTTAACTAGCAAGTTTTTTTGGATTAAAAAGAAGTGCAGCAAAGGTTCGTTATAACATGAACTCTTTCTTATATCTTAGTGCTTATCACTTATTGCTTAAAGTAGGTTTGAAAGATAAATTTTAACGCATCACGCTGTTAAATGGGTTAAGAAATCCATTGATAGAGCACGATATTGTGCACTGTTGTTCTAGAGCAAAAGTAAATCCACTTATAATGAGTTATGTTTAATTTGATTTATTTTAATTATTATTAAGAAAACTTCATTCGGTAATTTCCTATTTCCTGTTAGCTCACGAGCCCTATTTGTCTGCATTATTCTTTAAGAGTAGTGAGCGAATTCTTTCCAAATATTACCGAGTGTTTCCAATCCGCTAACGATTTCGATTGGAAACGGCTTTTTTAGCAGCCTCGGATATGGTCATGCCTGCAACTCGGTACTTGATGGCAATACAGCCTTTTATTTTTGGCAATCTGAACTAATGCTGCAATGCCAATTTAAAAATGTATCCTACGGAACCTAAAATTTAATCCCTACTTTTTTCTAACAACTAATGATGTTCTTCAGGTTCGTCAAGTATTTCACTCTTCCTCCTCATAAAGAACACTTCCTATGTCTACGTGTAAAATTTTGAATTCCCTTTAAAAGTTTTGTAAGGCATTGCTTTCACTTAATGTAGACTTTAGATGAATCTAACTTCACTCGAGGCACTCTGCCCGATCGAACGATGTTCTTCAAACTACTTTTTGCTTAGTTAACACTCTTACCAATTATGTAAAGCAACGCATTCTTTGTAATTCGGGATCATTCCATCTGCTAATAGTGTGAGTTCAGTCTGCTGCCTTGAAACTAAACAAGTTTTTAGTCTTTATATATTTCACAGTCCTTGTATAAGTTTATTATTATTATTATTATTATAATTTTAGACTAATGAAATAAAATCTTAGACTAAAAAAAAGACCTTGAGCACTAGCAACACAGACTATCGGCTCTATTGTATAAGTTTACACCATTATTATATTACATATTTCAAGTACCTTTCTAACTCAGTTAGATGTTAATGAATTTAATACTCAGAACAAATTCCTTATTGGGGTTTAACGTTCGCACATGGCATGAAGCCTTAATCAGACGGTTTTTCCGCAAATTTTCTGCTGCTTCAATGAAAATGTTAATTAATTTGTACCTAGTATTTCTTTCGATAAATTTTTTGAGATTTTGAGGAATAACCAGTAACCAGTATTGATCGATCTTGTATTATCAATTTACAATGACATCGCCTTTAACCGGCGTTCGCTCCTAATAACTTCTAAAGATTTCAATCATCGCATCTCTTAAAGTCAAATCTTATAATTTAACATATTCACAATCTCAATAAATGTTGGGAAACGTCATCCTTTTAAACATGAAAACTATTTTCAAATGTGTCCAACACACTTTTGTACCTCGACTTTAAAAACATTATCATAGTAATCTAAACATGAACAAGTTTTTCCTATCAAACGAAAATTTTTCTTAACTGGTTTATGTTTTATGAGCTTTTATGTAAGTTGTTTTCCTTTCCTTCCTTTATCTTTTTTCCTTCATATAGCTTTTGTTTTGTAAACATTATTATATTTGTGAAAAACAAATCGAAGAACAATTTGTTATGGAGTTGAGAAAAAAAATAATAAACCTCCTTGTTTTTTGAATATCTTAGTTAAACCAATTACAAATATGTTTAAATGAATTTAACAGAAGGAACGTAGGAAAATAAAATAATTGGGGATTTTTTAGAGCTTTTTTTACAACGTTGATATACATAGTACGTTAAATAGTATTGTTTAAATACAAAATTTTACATCTCAAAATAAACGACATGAGATTGTGCGTCATCTTACTTTACTTCGCGACTTTTTGTACAAATTTTTGGAAACATTAATATAAATAGTAATCTAGTGCAAATATTTTATCTTCATGCAATCGGTTTAGAAAGAAAGAAAGCTAAAAAACATGGCATCAGGAACAACTCAAAAATACAGAAACTTTGTCGCGGAACCAATGGGAGATAAGCCAGTGACGGATTTGGCGGGAATTGGCGATGTCTTAGGGGGCCGCTTGACGGAAGCAGGGTTTGATAAGGTACTTGTAAAAAATATCAACAGTACGAACATGTTTGAATGATAGCGTTATCTAAATATGTTGTTCATGTTTGACGGAAATTTCATTTTACGTCGATGAAACCTTTTTGCTTGAATTCCAATTAATTTTTCTTCTAGGCTTACACTGTGTTGGGGCAGTATTTAGTTCTAAAAAAGGACGCGGAATTGTTTAAAGAATGGATGAAGGACACATGCAATGCCAGCGCCAAACAGGCTAACGATTGCTACAATTGTCTTAATGATTGGTGCGAAGAATTTTTGTAATAAGGAATGTATTTTTGTTATAAACTTTTCTACTTATTCCAACATAATAGTTTTAATACATTCGATACTATCGGTTTAATATGATTTTGTCTTGCGACGTTTCTCTATATATGTTGAAAACAGAAAATATGTTAATAAAACTGCATTTTTAGAAACAACCCGTAGTAATGTTATCTCTACCAGATTTCTTTGTATAACTATTTATTATTAACTTTGATATTAAATATAATCATTCAATCTGTGATACGATTACCAGGCAATAGCATTTAAAATATCAAAAAGCATATAAAATATCTCATACATTAAAGTATATTTTTATTTTTGGATTATATCACTTTGGAGGGAGACGCAACTATTAGAGATTAATAGCCTTTGATTTTCGTAATTTCTTCCTGAATAGACTATTGGCCTTTTTGTATAATAACAAATAACCATGATCGGGATATCTTTTAAAGCGGTGCCATAGATCCATTTTGTTTTTCCTCGATAACGAAAGCGTGTTGTTCCACTAAGGAAGCCTAGCTCGTTAAAAAGAGCTGTTGGATTGAGGAATAGAGAGATGAGCAGTCATGTGAATCGCCTTAGACATAATAGCAGCATCATGGTTGCAGTTCCCGTTAAGTGGCTTTGAAATCAGTAATGACTTGGCCTGTTTGGAGTAATTGATCCAATCCGCTTTATGTAGGAGGAATTTGACCTGTTTTGCTGGAGTAACAGAGGACTTTGAAAGTTTAAAATCTATAGTAATTTTCTGTTTTGATTTTTAGAATTACAAGCATTTGTAAAAAACGTGGGCATTGTTTGTCTAACGCCGAATGTTCATCATTGCAGAAGCTACGCGTACAGCGTTCAGCATGGGGAGGAAGACCGCAGTTAGCACAAGATGGAGTAGCGGTGCATCTTTTTGCCGTATGACGCAGGCGTTGGCAGTTTTTACACCTCAGAATTTTGAATGTACAGTTGGCAGTAGCCGATAGTGGTCAAAAGTCAAAATAATCGTTCCTGTAGGGGAGCGAGTTTTTTATAGACTTTAGTCATTTCTTGACTGCCCATTTCGCGAACAATTTCATCTTCCGACACATGATTTAAGCATGTGGCATAAACTACACCTTTAACCGAGTTCAGTTTGTCATGCAGTTTAGCGGAAATAGCACATAAATTAGCTAATGATGTCGATTTTATGAGGTTTTCGGTTGCGCGCGGGTTCCCAGCGAGGACAAGTAAATTCCCATCGCGTAGAATCGAAATAGACTCCATATATATTGTAATGTTGTCTAGTGATTTTTTAATAGCAAAAGGGCTGATTTGTGAATTTGTTATGGTAGGATCAGTTGCAGAAATCACAACATAGATTTTGTCAATAGGAGTGATGTAACTGGTAGGCAACACCGGAAAGTTCAAATTTTTAATTTTTTTTTCTCTGGGAGGATACGCTCGCTAATAGATGAAATCTATTTGAATTTTTATCTGGCGGCACCAGGACCATTATGCCTTATGATTGTCTATTATTTAGTAATTTGTGAAATAACCACTCACTTGAAAAGGTTTTGGAACTGCTGAGGAGAATGTCACTTGTCACACGCGAATGTCACTATGTAATACGCAGTGAATGTATACCTAATTAACTGCGGAGAGCAGTTGTTAATACAATTTACACTATGACATCGTGATTATAGTATTAATATACGCTTTGAATTTGTAATTTGAAAAAGAAAATTAAATAAAAAGATATGATTTCGATAATCGCTGGGTCAGAAAATTTAAGATAATGCCAATGGAATGCCGGTTGAACAAAATTAATGAATGTTAACGTCATACAGGCTACATTTATCGCATTATTAGTCTTCATATATTTTAGAGTCCTTTTATAAGTTTATACCGTTATTATATTACATATTTCAAGTGCCTTTCTAACTCAGTTAGATGTTAAGTTCAATTTAGTATTCAGAACAAATTCCTTATTGGGGTTTAACGTTCGCACATGACATGAAGCCTTAATCAGACGGTTTTTCCGCAAATTTTCTGCTACTTTAATGAAAATGTTAATTAATTTATACCTAGTATTTCTTTCTATAAATTTTTTGAGATTTTGAGGAATATGTGATAATTACATCCTACTTAGATCACTCCAATAACCAGTATTGATCGATCTTGTATTATCAATTTACAATGACATCGCCTTTAACCGGCGTTCGCTCCTAATAACTTTTAAAGATTTCAATCATCGTATCCCTTAAAGTCAAATCGTATAATTTATCACATTCACAGTCTCAATAAGTGTTGGGAAACGTCGTCCTTTTAAACATGAAAACCATTTTCAAATAACACTGTGTGCAACACACTTTGGTATCTCAACTTTAAAAACGTTGATAGAATTTTCATAGTAATCTAAGATATTCTAGGCTTACCCTGTGTTGGGGCAGTATTTAGTTCTAAAAAAGGACACGGAATTGTTTAAAGAATGGATGAAGGACACATGTAATGCCAGCGCCAAACAGGCTAACGATTGCTACAATTATCTTAATGATGACGAGTATGTTTTTTCTTCTAAACTTTTCTACTTATTCCAACATAATAGTTTTAATACATTCGATACTATCGATTTAATACGATTTTGTCTTGCGACGTTTATATATATTTGTTGAAAACAGAAAATATGTTAATAAAACTGCATTTTTAGAAACAACCCGTACTAATGTTATCTCTACCAGGTTTCAATCAGTGTGCTTTTCAATCTTTGTATAACTACTTATTATTAACTTTGATATTAAATATAATAAAGTTCAATTTTAAATATTATTCTATAAAATATTTGCTCTTGCTGTTACAGTTAATTAACATCTGGTAACTCCTCTTTTCACGTCTAACTATTACAAACAAGTTCCCACCCTTGGCAATGCTTATATAAAAAAAGAAGAAAGAGTTTTCTTCGGAAATTTTCATTCTGCTTGTTAAATTAAGAAAAGCATGGAATAATAAGTAGTTATCACAAAAATAGTTACTGTAAAGATAATAAAAAGTAAAACACAACAGCAGTATGAAGTGCTAAATATATTTTAGAAGTATAAAAGTATTGCGAAAAATCGGAAAAATAATTGTGAGTTTGCATTTGTATTCGGGCTTGTCTACGCGAAGTCAGAGAGCAAATATAGTAAATCCTTCGCATAAGAAGAAATTATACCGTTAATAGGAAGCCACATCAAATTTTTATCAAACATATGCTATGGACTAATCTATCTGCGTCCATATGTCCGTTTGCAAGCATGTGTATATATATATGCATATAATTCGAGCGTATATATATATATGCGCGCGTGTGTATGCATATACAGCAGACATATATATATATATATAAATATAGTTGAATTGTGAAGTGAATAGCAACACAAAGAAAACGAATTGTAATTGATTTCTTTTCATCGTAAGCAGAATCAAAACCTTTTTTTCGATTGACATTCGTTGAATAGCCGCTCGCTTCTCTTTTTTTCTATATTTTGCACACTGAAATGGCAATACTGCGTTCTAGCTAAGTCACGGAATACGGTAACCCTGTTTACAACTAGTGGAAAATATTAATTAACAAGTCGGAAACTGAAAAGTATTGTCGATTGAAACAATTGGGCGAAAAATGCTTATTTTTCACATATTTTAGCAAAAGCTAATTCAAATAAAATGTACGGTGCAATATAACAGAAATATATACATTTTTTCTAATTTAACTTAGATAAATTTGTGCTTCGTTCATGATCGTTTTCTGCTCAGAGAAGTTCGTGCGGTAATTTCTACAAATTCTCTTTTGTGCTTAAGTTCTTCCATCATCAATTCGTGTAGAAGATTTTTCGCGTAAAGACATTTTTACTTGACGCAAGTTTAAATAAATCTACCATCAAAAAAGATAACAAATTAAGAACGAATAATGTATTTTGAATTCTACAAAATCTGTTTGTAAAATTTTATTTGTATGCGTGAATTTTAAAGTGAAAGCTTAAAATTTTTTTTGCAGAATTTTTGGTTTTTATTTGACGTCCGTCAATGCATGTGAGTGTTGTGTTGTGTATATGCGTTTTTGAGAGTGTAATACTTATTGACTAGTAATTGCAGACAAGTGGACTGAGCGAATTTTTTAAGGATGTTTTCTTCTATTTTCGCATTAGTAAAATTGAAAATGGCAAAGAGAAGAATTTTAAGGGAAATCTAAGCTTGTTGATGTTAATAAAAAAAAAAAATCTGGTTCGCTTTTAGGTTAGGTCTTCTTCGTGAGGTCTTTGACCCGTTTTATTGGTAGTTTTTGTTTTATTTAGTATCCTTTTTTACTTTTCTGCTCGCGACTTTCTTTTAGCAGGACCAACAAAAGTTTTTCATTATATTTATGTATGTGTGTGCAATTGTCTTCACAAGCGAACGGACATACATACTGCAAAATAACACTAATTAATGTTTAGCAACTTAAAAAGCAATAATAAAATTTCAAAACACCAATAAAAAGAGAACGAAAGAATATATTTTATAAGAAAAAAAAAGAAAAAGAGGAATCAATTAATAAAATTTAAGTGTCAAATTTATTGGAAAAAACTAAGAGGTTCGAAGAATTTATTATAAAAAAGAGCAAAATTCAATTATAATTTTTTACAATTCGCCAGCATATAATAGAAAAAAAGCTATCCATACGTTTGGTTAAGAACTGCCATAAATCGGGAATAAAGCAAGCCATCTAAAAAAAAAAAATTATTTAGTAAAAAGAAAACATCAATGGGTACTAATTCAGGAGCTACGACTGGTATTAATAATAAACCTGTGGGCGCGGGTGGTGGTACGGGTGTAGTCGGTGCAAGTCTTGGTGGCGGCAGTACAAATCTTGGTGTTAATATAGGAAACAATAGTAACAATAGCAACTTAGGTGGCGGCAGTAGCCCAAACATGAATTTAAATAGCGGAAGTAATAACCCTGCCTCCGCCGTTGTCGGTTTAGGCGGAGTGGGCAACAATATCACGAATTCGAACAGTGATGACGGCAATGGCGGTTCCGCCGTTACCAATAATCAACAGGCTACACCACAATACACCATACCCGGCATACTGCATTTCATACAACACGAGTGGTCACGCTTTGAATTGGAACGTTCGCAGTGGGATGTTGACCGTGCCGAATTGCAAGTAAGTTCTTTGTTTATATTTGTATAAACATTTTATTTTTATAGATTTTCGGTTTTTGCAAATCCAAGAGATAAGCATTGTAGCCTACATTAGCTGATAACATACGTATCCCACTGTGGTTATTATTTAATTGCATTAGTGATAGTTCAGTAGCGTTTGCCATATGCTACAATACACTGACTAATTCGTCGTGTTTCTCAATATTGTAAACCTTGTTTCTATTCCAATGATTACTAAAAAATTTGTATGGAAAAGAAAAATGTAAATTAAAGTAATAATGTTTGCTTCGAACTGGTGTCATGAACAAGTAAAACTTATGGACATTATTTCCCAGTAGCTGTTACTGTTCACTAAAAGGCGATTATAAAGGAGCCTTCCAAGCCAAGTTGTTTTCGAAGCTGGAAGATATTTTGTGTTGTCCTGAGACAAAGGCCTCTGAAGGAAAAAGCTTTCCTCTGCTGCTCTTATTTACTTATCTTGTAGCCTTGTTATCAGCCGTATGTTTTTCACGCCTTGTATTTAAAGAGTTAGTTTTTCTTTTTAAGGAAAAAGGGGGTCCTCTTTCACGAAAAGGTTCCTGTTCCATGTATAGTCCTTCATTATCTGGATTTCCAAATTTTTTGAGTCACTACCTCTTCCATCTGAATCTTTTAAAAAATACTTGCAATATTTTGTTATAATTAGCTAATAATTTATTTAATTTTCAAGTACATTTTAAATAGCAATCTGCCCATTGGTTGTTTAAAATCATTGGCACAATAACAAGGAAATAAATTAATTTACGCGGTCCTATTTGTATACAATGTAACATAATTTTTGTTAAATGATTTTATTATTTCTTTATATTTATACTTTTTGTTTAAGTGGAACATCATGGATATGAAGTCTTTAATTTTCCAAGATCATAAGTTTCGTGAAATATTTCACTTTTTCAATGAAGTAAAAAATTTTCGTCTCTTTTTTTTAATAAACATTTGCTCACGTGTCTAAGCGAGTGCAAGAAAGAAACCAGCAAACAGCAAACACATAATTTATTTCCTTTTATAAAAAAAAGGCAATTAACTAAGAGACGAACAAACAGGTTATCGGCAATGATCCTCATCAGCTAAGAGTTTTTCATGTTTATTTATTGTTATTATTTTTTTTTAGTCCATCAATTTAATCAAGTGTGAGAAAACAAGTTCGATAAACAAGTGAAAAAACTATTTGTATATTGAGACGAATGTTGGGTACCCCAACAACTAAGGCAAACTATTTGAAAGATCTTATAGTCAGGCAGGGCATCAGATACCCTAAACCACTTTGCGTAGCATAATTACTCATTCGTTTTAATAGTAACGCGATAAAAATTACATAATACTCTCATGCTCAAGCTCACATGAGGGCATGAGCATACTGCTTAAAACACACCTGACGTGATCAACATTTTTCAAACTTAATTTACTTGATAAAAATTTTATTACCTTTCGGCTTCCATCGTAGGACACTAGAAATTAGACTTGTTCCCTACATGTAAGGGCTTGATTTTCGTGATAACGCCTATATAGATTAAGGTCTAAAAAATAGAGCCGTGTGACACAAATTTCATATCCATTCCACCTTTTTCTACGCATCTTCTACGCATCTACGCAGAAATCTTATATGAAGGGCGACCCAAGAAACAGACTCATGTTGTTTAAATTTTATCTTAAAATACTACCATGAACAGATTTTCATCGTAAAACATTAACGATTAGAGTCTTTGCCATATAAGGATTGACATTTCCTTAGAATACTTATACGGGTTAATATTTAAGAAGAAAGAGTCACTTGGTTCCAATTGGTTAGGTTGGATTGGATGGTATGAGTTTATCATTACGAACTAATTTTCGCCATAAAATATTGAAAGTTCGATATTTTTATCATATAAAAATCAATGTCCGTTAGGGGGGTTTACATGAGAAGGCGTTCAAAAAACCAAAGGAGTCGAACAAGTTTTTTTATGACAACTTAGAATGACAAGATACTTTTACCCAGTGAAAATTGGAATTTGTTTCATATAATGAGTTCTCCAAATAAGGCGTTATATAGGAAGTGGTCAGCAAAGTAAATCAATTTCAATCATTTTCAATACCGTTCGATCTTTGGTCAAAGTACGTCAGTGCACCAAGTTTTATCAAAATATTCAAGAATTGCGATCTGCAGGTTGCATGCATGTGTACATGGATCCGCATTAGACGAAAAGGCAAAGTTGAAGCGATTCAGAAAATGATTTTGAATCGATCGTGTGATAAAAGATGAGTCGATCATCTCCATGTTGCATATGTCCGCATAAACTTAATATAATCTGTATCACCAGCAGTGTAGGCTATAATTATTATATCAACAATAAGTTTTTAACAAATTATTAAACTAAAATGAAATTTTCGGCTTTCGGGATATCTCGCATTTTAAGTTTGGAAACCAATGGAGCTTCATCTGTCTATTCCGGTTTTTTCAATTTCAAGATTAAGTCGTTTTTGTAAATGTTACAAACAGCAAAACAGTAGACGCATAGACTAATTTTGCGAGCTGGTTTGGCAATGATTTATTGTAAAATTGCTTTCCAAAAATGTATAGATTATACCTTTGGTGATACAGTGCCACAATAGTCACTCTATCCCTTATCTATCTGAGGAAGTCGTTTTTTATTTGAAAATACAACGTTCAAATCTCTCTATAGGAAATGTTTTGGTCGATTTTAAAAACGTTGTCATCTGGACTTTGTAGGATTCAGAGTACCACCACAATGGCAATAATCCAATGTCAAGAGTAATAAGTTTTATTAAAATATTTCCCGCTACATTTCAATTAATTCCATAATTTATGGTTTCGGACCTACAGGAAAGAAAGGAATTTATCTTGTAAAAGATTTTTTAATAAAAATTTGTTCACCGAAACCCTATTGATCTAGGGCGTATGTAAGAAGTGAAGAGAAGCTCTCTAGCGATTAATTCAAGTGATTCCAAGTGAAAATTTTATTTGTTCTCGATAATTCAATAAGCTAAAGAATGGGCTATTAGTACACCAAGAAGGGGCCCTTTCCGATCTCTAGTAAACTTCAGTAACTTTACAAAATTTAATATGGCATCAATGCTGGTAGCCTAAAATAGCGTGACATTGCTAATTCAATTTAAGGGTTTGGTTACATTTTTTAGGTTATTATAGGCATATTACATACAAACGTCACTAATAATAATTGTTAACAAAAAAAAAAAAAAAAGAAGATAATAATATTAATAATGGCTTCGCCTCTTCAGAGCGTCATTGTGGGCCTGTTTGAAAAGTCACACCTTAAATGACGGCTGAGAGAAAAATATTAGGCTTGCATAACTACATAAGCACCTATACCAAAGGTAGCTCACTTAGCATTTGATTTTTTTTTTTCAAGTTATCAGGTTAGTCTAGTTTGTTGATTTGAAAAAGAAAAAATTCGAAAAGGAAAATTTATTCAATTTTAGGATTTCGAACGTTTGGAAAATAAATTTTTTCTTTTCGAGCGTGACAAATATAGTCGAGTAAATTTTATATAATTTTTGAAGAAAAAACAAAAAAAAATTGATTGAGTTTAATAATTATTTGGCATTTGCAATTTATAACTTTCATTTAGAAAAAAAAAAATCTTAAATAATAGACAAAATTAAAAGCATTGGAAACAATAAACAACAGGCTTTAGAGAAAAAGAAGCGAGTGGTGATGTCGGCAAATAGTGGAGAGCAATAGTAGAGGAAATATATACAGATAGAGTGCGATATCTTGCACAATGGGGTAAAGCCCGCACTCAAGTTATAGCTATACCTGACGGTTTACCCGAATTTCTTACGGATAAAAGACGCAAAGACGTAGCCGGTAATGAAGTCCGAAAGGATGTTTGCAGCCATGGAAGATTGCTTTGAACGTTTTGTGACCAAGCATCGTTGGGAAATGGGCAGAGAGGAGGAGGTCAAGATATTTAACTTCTGTTTACTGGACGAGTTAATAAAGAAATATAAATTCTCCAAGATTAGATTAAAAATATCAATATTTTTTTGTGACGTCGTGTTGACTTTGCCTTTTTTTCCCGCAAAGCCAGCAGCAGCTGAGGAGGTTGCTTGCGACGTTGAGCATGTTGTCTATGTCTCAGAATGCCTGACTGCTTATTTGACCGGTTTATTTCGTAAATTTAAGTCTTTAGATTATTCCCTTCAAAAATAATTCTTTATATAAAGAGCATTAGTCGGATTGTGAGCAGTGTCACCCAGATAACACGAGTCTTCAGCCCCGTGTTCCATTGTGCTTCCCGGGTACATAAGAATCTTACTATACCCATCACTATACGATGGCGGTACACTCATTTTGGTTTTTTCCATGATGTATATAACGCCCAAAAGGAAACTTCTCAGAGACCCTATAAGCTATGTACACTCTTCGTCAACGTGAAATTTTGAATTCATTTAGTTATATCTGCTCACTCTGTATGCCTATATGGTGCTTCTTGTTGGTATTCTCATGGTCGTAAAACTAAAGATATCAACTTCAAATTTGATAGAAACACGCAGCTACGTTTTTTTAACAGAAATTTGTGGGTTTTTGCTAATTACTCGGAAATTATTAAAGTTGCAAGCATACAATTTTCATTATTTGCTTTACGAAACACTCTACTCTTTACTTCCCCGAATGGAAACAATTACGAGTAATTAAATTTTATTTTTTCACTTTGAGGTTTTATGCTTATTCATCATAAGGCAAACAACACAGAATGTTTAAATTTAGTTTGTACACTCCTCAAATGAAGATATATTATCTGCCTAAAAAGAGGTTAATTCTAAGATAAATGTGGTAGACGCTGCGTTTAATTTTTTCTTAATAACACCAGCGATATGGGTATCAAATAAACGAACTTGGAGAGCAGAATGCGAAGAATGGAGAGCAGCGCCGAATATAACTTTCTTTCTTTTTGTTACTTCTACGTTTATGGTGGGTCCCTCTTTACCAATTTGGTG